TTTACACATATTCCTACATAGTTTACACATATTCCTACATAGTTTACACATATTCCTACATAGTTTACACATATTCCTACATAGTTTACACATATTCCTACATAGGTTACACATATTCCTACATAGTTTACACATATTCCTACACAGATTACACATATTCCTACATACATTACACATCACACATAGTTTACACATACATAGTTTACACATGGTCTTACATAGTTTACACATATTCCTACATATTCCCACATAGTTTACACATATTCCTACATAGTTTACACATATTCCTACATAGTTTACACATATTCCTACATAGTTTACACATATTCCTACATAGGTTACACATTTACACATAGTTTACACATATTCCTACATAGTTTACACATATTCCTACATAGTTTACACATAGGTTTATTCCTACACATAGTTTACACATACACACATAGTTTACACATATTCCTACATAGTTTACACATACACCACATATTCCTACATAGTTTACACATATTCACATGGTTACACTTACATACCTACATAGTTTACACATATTCCTACATAGGTTACTACATATTCCTATATTCCCACAGTTTACACATATTCCTACATAGATTACACATATTCCACATAGTTTACACATATTCCTACATAGTTTACACATATTCCTACATAGTTTACACATATTCCTACATAGTTTACACATATTCCTACATAGGTTACACATATACCACATAGTTTACACATATTCCTACATAGGTTACACATATTCCTACATAGTTTACACATATTCCTACACAGATTACACATATTCCTACATAGGTTACACATATTCCTAAATAGTTTAAACAAATTCCTACACAGATTACACATATTCTTACATAGTTTTCACACGTTCCTACATAGTTTACACATATTCCTCCGCCATATGGCTTGAATATTGCTGAGTGTGGCTTAAAGCTTTACTCACTTACTACACATATTACCACATAGTGACACATATTCCCATATAGTTTACACATACCTCTTCATAGTTTACACATATTCCTTCATAGTTTACACATGTTCCTACATAGTTTACCCATATTCCTATATAGTTTACGCATATTCCTACATAGCTTACACCTATTCTTGCATAGTTTTCAAATATTCTTACATAATTTACACATATTCCTACATAGTTTACACCTATTCTTGCATAGTTTTCAAATATTCCTACATAGTTTACACATATTCTTGCATAGTTTTCAAATATTGCTACATAATTTACACACATTCCTACAAAGATTATACATATTCTGGCATAGTTTTCAAATATTCCAACATAGTTTACACATATGCCTACATTTTTACACATTTTCCTAGATAGCTTACACACATTCTTGGATATTTTTCAAATATTCCTACATAGTCTACACATACTCCTACATAGTTTACACATATTCCCACATAGTTTACACACATTCCTACATCGTTTACACATATTCCTACATAGATAACATATATTCTTGCATAGTTTTCACTTATTCCTACATAGTTTACACATATTCCTGCATAGCTTACACATATTCTATATAGTTTACACATATTCCTACATACTTCACACGTATACTCTACATCGTGTACACATATTCCCACATAGTTTACACATATTCCTACATAGCTTACACATATTCTTGCATAGTTTTCAAATATTCCTACATAGTTTACACATATACGTACATAGTTTACACATATTCCTACATAGCTTACATATATTCTTGCATAGTTTTCAATTATTCCTACATAGTTTACACATATTCCTACAGTTTACAGTTATGCTCTATGTAGTGTACTCTTACGCATGCATAGTTTACTAGTACACTCATGTAATATACACGATTACTCTATATAATTAACACATACTTATACATAGTTTACACGTACACTCTATATAGTTCACATTTATGCCCAAGCTCTTGACAGGGAATTCCTAAATAGATGACGTTCATGCCCAATACCCGATATACTTCACACTTATACCTAATACAGTTTACACTTACAAACCATATAGCATATACTCGGTGAATTCTGTATTGCGACAGACGTATGAATATCAATACGCGGGGAATAACACCTTTTTAGTATGCTGTGCATGTACTCGTTAATCTTCGCTCAATCTTCCTTTTAAATTAGAAAAATATATGTCCTGGTTAAGACCTCACTAAATGACAGATGAAGTGGGTTAGCTAAGTGCTAAAATCATTCACTCCTTAAGCCGAAAGCCCTGGTTTGATTCCCTACATGCATGCATTGTCTAGAGCCCATTTCTGCAGTCCTTCGCCGTGATATAATATTGATAAAAAGAGGCGGAAAAAACAAACAGTCTCAGACCAAACTATACAAATAACATACAGACTTAAAATCGGTAGTAAGATCTAACTTTCTTGCCGACAGAATGTGGCAAATATGTTTGACATCACAGTGAGATTCTTTGTTATCTTTGCTTGTTTGCTTTTGTTCTGAAACTTTCAAATCTTAACACGAGTGTTATTGTGTGTGTTGGTTGGGACAGTTTTACAGTCAGTGGTTGCGTGCGTGCGTGCGTGCGTGCGTGCGTGCGTGCGTGTGTTTGTTGGTCATGTCAGTGTTACAGTTAGTGTTTGTGTGTAAGGGATAGGTTGGTAAGGTAGAGTGAAAGGGGTCTAGACGAATCTATATGGGTTTGGGTTCAGGGTTAAAGTTCAGGGGTAGGAGGCTGGGGTATATTCAAAACGACACTTGTATTCGCATCATTGTATACTAATAAACACATAAATAAACACATATCCATGTGGATCACTGACTGTTGTGGGAAATATGAAAATTCATTCAAACATACAACGGATTTGCAACATAGCTTTTCAAATTCGAAACCAGCGGGACCATTCGAGTAACACCAAGTGATATTCGTTCATGGAAAGTAACGGGAGAACGCTAGAGCAGATAACTCACGGTACCATAAACCTGTCACGTTACCCTCGATGATCACTAGAGTGGATCGTGATATGGAGTGATGACCTCACTCCCACCACAACCACCGAATGCAGAAAGTTGAACAAACATCGGATCCAGTCGGCGTTACAATCAATGCGACGTCCATTAACACGCTGACGGCCATCACTCTGCATGAGTGAGTGAGTTTGATTTTACGCCGCTTTTAGCAATATTTCAGCAATATCACGGTTTTGGACACCAGAAATGGGCTTAACACAATGTACCCATGTGGGGTATCGAACCCGGTCTTCGGCGTGACGAGCGAACGCTTTAACCACAAGGCTACCCTCTACCATGAAGAAGACTGATCTTCATACTGTAACATGTTGTCTTGACCATGAGGTGTGCCGTGCGAGGCGTGGCTGCAAACTGTGGCGTAAGCCTGGACGTCGTGGTCTCATGTTATGTTCCCGTAATCGATGCCTCACAATTATTGCACTAATCGGACGTAAGCCAGATACTAGACGTACTGCACGCCAACGGTTTCACAAGTCAACCAGACGGATGTGATTATCTTGTCGACGAGTTTACCCGTGGGCGTCCTCGATGCTGCCACCACGTCGGTCCACGATGCTGCCATTCTGTCGACATCGACTCTAAGGGTATGGTGTATGATACGGAAAAACACTTTCAATGTTTTGAGCAGTTTCATTTTCATACATTCCGACTGCAAGTAACTCCTCACTTTGAGACAGCTGTCGCATAATGTGTACGAGGTTTATCCGTCAACAAAGTTACTTTTCACAGATAAAACACTTCAACGATATACAAACTTTGACTTGACTCGACCCCTCGAGTACTATAAATGTGTGTCCAACTTCTTACTCGTGAGATTCCATGCATGCAATGACCCGATAGCACGTGCAATGTCAGGGTCACCGAGGGTAAGCACCACGAAATGATAGTAAAGCAGTTATCATGCATGAACCTGATAAATCCAAGGCAATCATAATTTGAAGTATTTATGGGACGGGAATTTAACACACACACACACACACACACACACACACACACACACACACACACACACACACACACACACACACACACACACACACACACACACACACACACACACACACACACACACACACACACACACACACCAAGAAAACAAATACAAAACAAACAAAAAAACAACAAAAACAAAACAAAAGACCCCCAAACCATCCAAAACACAAAAACCCCCAAACAAACAAACAAAGACCCAAACCAAACAAACCGATCCCCCTCCCTCTCCGCGCCAACCAAAATAAAAACCCATCAAAAATTAAAACAAACATCCCAGTCAATATGAGGAATACAGAATGAACGTGTATTCATTGCATGATGCAAGGTTGCATTGTAAGTCTATGTTTATTGAGAACATTAAACACATCAAGTGATTATCAAGGAATTTTGCTTATTGTTTAAGGACGATTCGCCACTTCTAACCCCTCTTACGAAGCACATACATATTTCAAGTTGTTACCCTTGTCCATCAACAAGCATACTAATGTCGAGGAGGCGTTGAGAAGAAGCGAAACAACATACACAACCACTCAGTTGATCTCTGCCGTCGCTTGAATTAGAATCTATAGTCAGATCTGACCAATGAGCGACGTTCGTTAGTACATTTACACGTTCTCTGCCATGATATGGCAAACACAACACCTGGAGTGGTGTAGAAGTAGCGCATCTGTAATCAGTGAGTGGAAGTCTGCATTGTAGTCTAGGTATATATCACTATACTATAGTGTTGAGTGTTAAATTATGCAAATTGTGTTTGACATTGGAATATGTTCAGTTTGGGCCTTACAGTTAAAGGGTACATGTGAAAATGTTTCGATCGGAACAATATTTTATTCCGGTTATGGGTTGTTCCTAAAACATATTTTTCTGTTCAAACAAACAACAAACGTCATATCGGATTTGGTTGGTAGGTCTCAGATATTTGATGTTCATCTCATCTGATTATATTAGTCTAGACTTTGGTTTCTGGCAACAGGACTATGGGTACCAGAACGTTCATCACTTCTCCAGTCAGTCTGCTGGGAGTGCTCTCCGTGACTGTCATCTGCGTGAATGGCTTCCTTCCAAACAGATTAAGTCCGATGGCGTCAAAATCTGACTTCACCCACCAGGACATCACAGAGACCGGCATCTTGAGAGCTGTGGCGGAGATGTTCGAAGAGACGCCTTTGTTTGATAGGCCCATTAAACACGGAGAACTTACAGGACTAACCAACATCACGGCCAGATCACTGTTTGACAAATATTATGGAGGTACGTTTAACATTTGGGCTTTAAGTACTTATATATTCAAATATATCATTGGGACTTTGATTGTACAGTGGACAAAGGCGCTGCAGCATGCTATGCAAATGGCCTTCCTTAGGCAATGCGGTCGTCGGGTGTTCCAATTCTAAATAAACCCATTATAATCCTTTGTCATTACACTGTCTTACCTCTGTGTGTTTCACCAAGTCATTTATGGTTTTGTTCCAACAAGAAGCTGCCATGATAGAGCTGAGATTCTCATCAAAACTCATTCACTTTTTTTCTATTTCCTAAAGAATAAGGTAATTTGTTGCCAGCAGAGATTGTGCGAAGATCTGCAATCCACTGAACCATAGAATATAGTTTTTCGTCGTTCAACCAATTCAATTCCTTATTCAATTACATGCTCAGATTATGTATACCCAAAACAATTCTTACACTGGACCCAGAGTCTGTTTGGATGAAAATAGTAGAAAAAATGCGATCTTCTTCGATTTTAGGGGAGGCTCTAAAACCAAGTATTTAAAGCGTTCGCACGTAACGGTGAATGAAAAGTTCGACACAATACTCACCACCTCATTTTACTGGAATATTGCTGAACTAGGCGAAAACCCATCCACCTCCCTTCACATTGACATCCCTTGCTTTTACAATTCTATATCAACTGATATCATTTAAAAGTGGAGTTTGACGTATCTTCTGAATCTATCAAATGTTTGTTAATAGAATATGTAAAATTCAGATTCAAACTTAGTTTACGCTATCTAAAATGTGATATTTATTGAAATGTAAAACAAACTAGCTAGACATTTCTATAAGATAACCGTTTCTGAGTACATACGATCGACTGCCATTCTTTACTCATACTGAAAACGTGGAATCTTCGTTCAGAACTATTATGATGAGGAATATAACTGACACTCAATCTTGGGGCCGTTAGAGTAATCCAGCGGTTAAAGTGTTCGCCCGTCTCGCTAAAGACCCGGGTTGGATTCCCCACACGGGCACGTTGTTTGAAGCCTAGATCTGGTGGCCCCCGCAGTGATATTGCTGGAATATTGCTAAAAGCGGCGTAAAACTATAGTCTCTTCACTCAACCTGATCACGTCACAAACGATATGTGCATGACTTTCTAATGTTCTGGTTGAGGGGAGACGAAAACAATATTCAAACACAACACATTTTAAGTATATAGTGTTTAGTAAAGCACGGGGATAAAATAATGCTAACGCCCTTCACAAATATCAAATCGCGAACCATTTATGATAAGAAAAGCAAAACAAAGACAACAACCAACCAATCAACAACTCCCATATTCACCCTATAACTGCACTGCTTCGGACTTACACACTGTGTTATCTACTGATCGTTCCCAAATTGCGTGATCAATTATGATATATAAAAAAGTCAGCCACGTTGAAGTTTACAAGGTTCTTGACATCGTTAAAGCGATTCAATCAATAATGATGTTTGCAAACAACTGATTTTGTTAATTACCATTAACCGGCATGATTATTTTAAAAACATTTCACTTCAGCCACCGCACTGGCTCTGTCAAGCACTGGCAACAGAGCAATCAGACACGAATCTCGCATTAGGTTGGTCATATATCGTTCGCCTTACTTAAATGTTCTATGGAGTCTATCATTATACAAACACAGGCCTCTGAGGATCGACGAAAGTGAGGTATTTGACAGGCATACGGCATAAACACTCCATGAAATATCTGTCGTGTAATTGATTGAGTGATTATGGCGTGGCATTGGGTGACGGATCAGATGAACCACGAGAGGGGAATATTAACAACCGATGCACGTACAGCTCCAGATTAATCCCAAGATCTCCTGCTGACTATGAGTATGAAGTATATTTCCCCAGTCACTGACCTCTGAAGCAAAGTGATGACAACATGAAGATTATGTTTCAAGGTGTACAAAGGCAGCTGTGAGAATGGCTCAACACTGATGAAGTGTATTAGAAATGTTCCCCTCTCTTTTTGTCGGTTGTTTGACGCAACACTCAGTAATAATCCGCCTATATGACGGAGTCTGAACCAGACAATCCAGTGATTGGTGTTATTAGCAACGATCCACGTCGTCGGGGGCGAAAAGGCCAGATCACCTTATCCCTTTCGTTGCCGCTTACGATATGCAGAGGTTGCTGGAGACATGCTAAGAAATTCTAATATATTTTGCTATATATTACTATATATATTTTGTATATATTACTGAACGGAGGTTCGTGTATGTTATGTGATTAATTACTATCATGAAGTTCTTGACAGGCATTTAAAATTTGGACGAACACGAATACATCACACGGATAATGGATTAATGGATAACAACTATTGTTCTTCTTTATCACAACGTTTCAGAGCTAATTTTTGCTCCTTCATGAGGTGAATGCGGAGTCAGTCAGCCAGTATCTTGGTTTTTACGACCACTTCTAGCAGAGTTAATTTTGCTGAGTCAGTGCATAGAGTTAATATATAGATAGATAGAACATGTTTACACAGGTGGGGTGGTGGGGGACGGGGTGGTGGTGGTGTGTGTGTGTGTTCAAAAATAACAATATAAGCACGAAACCAATAAGATGGGATGGTTGTACAAAGATAACAATATAAGACGAAGCCAATGATTATAACACAATGGAGTACACACTGGGAAGGTAGATGCCTTGGTCTCTGTTAATGGCTGGCTTCTTACTTTGGATTTTAATGCTTTCTTGAAGGTTCCTCCTTTTTCAGTGATGCTTTTCATAATAGGTACTGTGTCTGAGAAGCTGTTCCAGGAGGCCATCGATGACATCGTACAGGCCAACAACAGAGTGGACCAGGACCACTACTCCGAGGCTGCCTGGCACGTCAACGGGGAGGCCATCAAAGAAGGTGATGAAAGAAAGACACTAAATTACTTAACTTCAAGTGAAGATCATTTACAGATCATACGTTAATCCCAACTTATATGGCTTGGGTCGGCGGATTTGAACTGCTTCTGCCAGTTTTGTTTTGGTCATGGGGGATGTTTTGTACATTGTCCTATTTCATGTTGTGGTTGGGGCCATTGTGGTTAGGGCATATTGTTTTTCGGTGTAATTTGCTGGTAGATGTGTACTTTCATACTGTCCCCAGTTAAAAGTCAACAGAAACTAAGGATATCTCAACCCATCTTCATAAACTGAAATAGACCCAGAACAACCTAACTATCATGTCTAATTTTATCAGCACCGTACATGTTGTACTACCTCTCGTACAGTTGCTCCAGTTGGTACTGCGTTAATTACTAATATTTATCCCTTCATGCACACCATCATGTTGTTAACGTTAAGTCCGTTCTGTGCTGTAGCACATCACTGTTGCTTGACTACAGTATAAGGCTATGTAATAATAATGAGTCATCTTCTATAGCGCACAGTCTCCAAACACCAAGTGATTGCTCGCGGCGCTTAAAATTGGACACCGAAACGTCCCATCAAAATATGATAAAGAAATTGACTTCTATAAAAGTATCTTGTCTTTATTGTTACTCACCAATTTCTAAAATCCCAATCAATCAGTTTATTGTTTGAACCTCATCAATGCGATGATACCTGCAGGTAACGACAAGATCACGATGCTACGAGACACAGCCATTAATATTCTAAATAAGACCAAACCCAACTTCGATGCTGCTCGAGAGGTTATTGGTCAGTTTCTTCACATTGTCCAGATGTTCTACAGCAACACCAACTGGCCGGAACTCAAAGGAAGCGCGGTGTTTGAAGCTCTAGGTGAGAAGGTGGTATATAGTTGACAACATTGCTGTTGTCATGACAAATCCTTCATACCAGATTCCAGTTGTTAATTTTGAATTTCCACAATGTATAAGTTCAGAGATAATTCTACTTTGAGAAGAACACGTTTTCGACATACATAGGCTTTCCATACAGTAGAATGCCATTTTTAATGTTTCGGACCAAACTTTTCTTTGGTAGTTGACTCTGCAGGGATAAATGGTAATGGGGTTGATGACGAAACTCGAGGACTTCAGTACACCAGTAGAAACACTGACCCAGTGCACGATTTGCTCAGTTGACTCAAGTGTTTTTGTGTGGACAATACTTCGATTGCATCATGTAATATATTCCCAATAAATCAATAAAAATCGAATCCTATTTAAACGTTCTCTTGAATCCAAATATTTACTTGTACTCAGCGGGAAATTAGTATTTATATTTCCGTCGTGTGTTAACCTTGGTGTATTTGTTGGCATTCAAGGTATCCCCGGGAAGACATTGCTGGATGTTGCTCCGCCCTCCCTGGATACGTGCAAATCGTGTGGGTAAGTCACATAATTGAGTTTGATAGTACGGCCCCCGTTCCTTTAAGATCCGGGTTAGAATTGGTCTCAATCAACCCATGGTTGTAATAAGAGGTGGCTAATGGGATCGGGTGGTCTGACTCGCTGACTTGGTTGACACATGTCATCGTATCCCAAATGCGTAGATTGATGCGCATGCTGTTGATCACCGGATTGTCTTGTCCAGACTCGATTACTTACAGCCCGCCACCATGTAGCTGGAATATTGCTGAGTGCGGCGTTAAACAACAATCCAACTACAAATCGAGCTTAGCGGTACGACCGCGTTACGTCTATGTTAAAGTATAGAAGGTCATCCGCCAAGATAGCTTTATGTAACGGTTCCAGGGTTGTCACGGTCATGGAGTGACGGTGGTGAGGCTAAACGCGTTTTTATGGTCTACGAACCTGCGTTTGCATTTCTAATACACGGCAATAAGTACAGACATTGACACTTCTATCATAGCCTTGGACGAGCTTCATATTGTTTGACACAGAGTATGGTTGTGTTTACGTGAACAAAAGACAACTAAAGGGAACGAGTGCTCTGACGGCGTGGATCAGTGATCTGACGGCGTGGATTAGTGCTCTCACTATCAATCACTGGATTGTCTAGTTCAGGCATTTTTACTTACAGGCCCTGAGTCTAAAGCTACTAAAGCTATATTCCTGAGTGCGGCGTTAAACAAACCATCTTATAACAACCATGTACATCTACAAAGTAACTATTTCCCCCCATTATGTCTGTTAACGTTAAGACAAAAACATACTGAGGAAATGACCACGGGTAGAGTGAGAGTCGAGACTTGTTTTTTCGATGACTTGTTTTACTATTGAGATAGGACAATGTGATATTGATATAGGACCCTCTACAATGTGATATTGATATAGGACCCTCTACAATGTGATATTGATATAGGACCCTCTACAATGTGATATTGATATAGGACCCTCTACAATGTGATATTGTGACCCTCTAGTGATATAGGACCCTCATGAATCACAGAGGGTCAAGCGGAGTTTCCTGCGCCGGCAACCTTCTCGTCCAAACCATGTTGACCAGTGGCTACCGAAGTGGGCAGGACAGATCAAAGCCGAGCAGTAAGTGTATCGGTAGCGCTTGTTCATGTCCAGTAATTAAAACTATATTATTGCATAGCTGTTAAAGCAACTAACATGATCATGATCGCATTATATCTGATCACGCGACAAATGTAAAGATACAGAAATAGTTAAGACCTGTTTGCCTTTGTTCGAGTTTTCTAGGATACTTGGTGTTATAGAATAGACAATTTTTGCTTTCATTGTAAATGTTTCTTCATGTTCATACCACTTGTATTAATTATTCACTACACATACACGCGTGACGGTGAACATATTGTGTGTGCATATATTATTACTGATGTTGTACAGGTTCTCATAATGAACACAATTGTGACTCCCCGCTTGACGGTAAACAAATGTGATGTTGTTATTACTCCAGAAGATCCACAGGCTCACCAGACTGGCAAATGTAGTCACGGCGGCCCCCACGACACATCCAGCACGACGTCTGCTGCCACTGGCGGCATCAACAAGGACAGCAGCAACCCCAAATTATCCCCCCACTACTACCTCCACCAACAGGCGGCAGAGGGCGCTATACGACATACAAAGTTCCTGTTGGTTGATCCGGGTATGTGGCCAGTCTACAGCACACACACGTTCTGAGTTTCTCACACGGTACACCGCCTTATATACTCGTACTCGCACACGCATTACATGTGTCTAACTGTGGTACCGTCATACAGTCAAACACCCTTGTGTCGAACTTTGTGTTGACGTTCGTCTCGAAGTTAAACATTTTCCGAAGGCCATTGTATTCCATCGTCAGAATTTTGCCGTTGTGTCGAACTCGAAGTTTTCAGTACCTTCTGCTTGGACACAATGGTTTCACTGTACTTGTTGTCACCACTTGCAACGTACCCCCCCACAAACACACCTCTCCCCCTCCCCCTTCCCCCTAGCTTTGTGCTAAATATAACATCCTGAACTTCAGTTTGCAGTACTGGAATGGTTAGAAATGATCCAAGTTTCAATCAAGTCTAAAGATTACATAGTGAAATTGGATTTCCTTTGTAATTATTGGATAACAATGACTTTAATAATTTTTTTCAGTGTATGGATTAAGGAAACAAATAGGAAACAACACATTCCGCGCACTCTTCAATCTGGCAGTTTCATCGAGCATGGTGTTCGTCATCGACACGTCGCACACGATGGCGGATGATGTACAGGCAGTTAAAAAAAAAAGACGCTTGAAATCGTAGCAGAGACAGCGGGGACCTTAAATCAACCTGCAAACTATATCATTGTCACCTTTAATAACCTAGGTAGGTGGAAAGGGGGGCGACAGATGCGTTTGTTTAGTACAACAAAGTCCCCTTTAATAACCTAAGTAAGTAGAAAGGGGAGGGGGGGGGGCGACAGAGACGCTTGTTTAGTAGTTCAACAGTCCCCTTTAATAACCTGGGTAGGTAGAAGGGGGGATGACAGTTCTGCTTGTTCAGTACAACAAAGTCCCATTAATTGACCTTGAAGCTGGTGTTTAGCGAGCCACTGTTGCCACTGTTTTTACCCGGCGTCTCAAGCTGCGACTTAGTCTCTGAGTGTCATTCCTGGTGTAAACAGCATCCAGTTCAGCTGAAGTTTGCATTTCCGGGTGGATTTTACGCTCTTTGGGAGACTTGCTATGATATGACCTTCTGGTGAAGAAACAACACAACATCACTACATCTATGCGGTCAATGAAAACAGATACAGTCCAAAGAGAATTGAGGTCCAATATGACCCAACGATTGGGCCAGGCATGCCCGAAGTATAGTGCCTCAGTTTATGCTATGAAGCAAGGGTTTGTCTGACTAGGACTGATCGTGTACAGGTTGTCGGACATAGCTGGGATAGAGCTGCGCTGTTAAGAAACTTTCATTCTCTCATTAAAGTTACCTCAAGTATGGTATCCAATGTGCTATGATGCTATCTTGTGGAACGCCTGACAACTTTTTTCTAACCTGTTTAATTTATTGTACTTTTGTTCAGGAAACAAAACCCACATATTTCAATCCGCAAATGCAACCGAAGCGCTCGAGTACCTCCAGAACATCCACGTCTCCAGCATAGTGGGGAACTGTCCTACGTACTCCCTCACGGCTCTCTTGGCGGGTAGGTATCTGACTGTCCCTCGTACTCCCTCACGGCTCTCTTGGCGGGTAGGTATCTGACTGTCCCTCGTACTCCCTCACGGCTCTCTTGGCGGGTAGGTATCTGACTGTCCCTCGTACTCCCTCACGGCTCTCTTGGCTGGTAGGTATCTGACTGTCCCTCGTACTCCTCACGGCTCCCTCTTGGCGGGTAGGTATCTGACTGTCCCTCGTACTCCCTCACGGCTCTCTTGGCGGGTAGGTATCTGACTGTCCCTCGTACTCCCTCACGGCTCTCTTGGCGGGTAGGTATCTGACTGTCCCTCGTACTCCCTCACGGCTCTCTTGGCGGGTAGGTATCTGACTGTCCCTCGTACTCCCTCACGGCTCTCTTGGCGGGTAGGTATCTGACTGTCCCTCGTACTCCCTCACGGCTCTCTTTGGCGGGTAGGTATCCTGACTGTCCCATGTACTCCCTCTCTTTGGCGGGTAGGTATCTGGTATCCCTGACTGTCCCATGTACTCCCTCACGGCCCTCACGGCTCTCTTGGCGGTAGGTATCTGACTGTCCCATGTAATCCCTCACGGCTTTCTTGGCGGGTAGGTATCTGACTGTCCCATGTACTCCCTTCACGGCTCTCTTGGCTGGTAGGTATCTGACTGTCCCATGTAATCCCTCACGGCTTTCTTGGCGGGTAGGTATCTGACTGTCCCATGTACTCCCTCACGGCTCTCTTGGCGGGTGTGACTGTCCCATGTCACGGCTTTCTTGGCGGGTAGGTATCTGACTGTCCCATGTACTCCCTCACGGCTTGGCGGGTTGGCGGGTAGGTATCTGACTGTCCCATGTAATCCCTCACGGCTTTCTTGGCGGGTAGGTATCTGACTGTCCCATGTACTCCCTCACGGCTTTCTTGGCGGGTAGGTATCTGACTGTCCCATGTAATCCCTCACGGCTCTCTTGGCGGATAGTTATCTGACTGTCCCATGTACTCCCTCACGGCTCTCTCTTGGCGGGTGAACACGGCTCTCTTGGCGGGTAGGTATCTGACTGTCCCATGTACTCCCTCACGGCTCTCTTGGCGGATAGTTATCTGACTATCTGTCAACAGCAACAACAACACTACTACCGCTACTACTACTACTACTACTACTACCACTACTACTACTACTACTACTACTACTATTACTACTTTTCAGCTGCCACTGTGGCCAAACCCAACTCTAAAATCTACGTCTTCACGGATCGTTCACCCAAAGATGCCGACTTGATTAATTACGTGACAAGCATGGTGACAGAGAAGAAAATTTCTGTATCATTTATCTTGACCGGTGACTGCAGCAGCCGGAGGAAGAGACAGGCTGGTAAATATACAAATATTGCTTCAATACGGCTATTGCTCATTTTAGTAGGAACGAACCAGTTAATCACGGAGAATAATCGAAAATGTGGAACCGCAATCTAAAGCAGCAATTAGTGTCTCTATTGATAGGCATAACGCGCTTTGTATGTTGCAAACTCTGGAAGGCTGAAGACGGCAACAGACTAGGGAACACACGGTAAGATGACAGATGAATGTTGTATATACGATGGACGGCAACATAAGGGGAACACACGGTAAGATGACAGATGAATGTTGTATATACCATGGACGGCAACAGACTAGGGAACACACGGTAAGATGACAGATGAATGTTGCATATACGATGGGCGGCAACAGACTAGGGAATACACGGTAAGATGACAGATGAATGTTGTATATACCATGGACGGCAACAGACTAGGGAACACACGGTAAGATGACAGATGAATGTTGCATATACGATGGACGGCAACAGACTAGGGAACACACGGTAAGATGACAGATGAATGTTGTATATACGATGGACGGCAACAGACTAGGGAACATACGGTAAGATGACAGATGAATGTTGTATAAACGATGGACGGCAACAGACTAGGGAACACACGGTAAGATGACAGATGAATGTTGTATAAACGATGGACGGCGACAGACTAGGGAACACACGGTAAGATGACAGATGAATGTTGTATATACCATGGACGGCAACAGACTAGGGAACACACGGTAAGATGACAGATGAATGTTGCATATACGATGGACGGCAACAGACTAGGGAATACACGGTAAGATGACAGATGAATGTTGTATATACGATGGACGGCGACAGACTAGGGAACACACGGTAAGATGACAGATGAATGTTGTATATACGATGGACGGCAACAGACTAGGGAACACACGGTAAGATGACAGATGAATGTTGCATATACGATGGACGGCAACAGACTAGGGAACACACGGTAAGATTACAGATGAATGTTGTATATACGATGGACGGCGACAGACTAGGGAACACACGGTAAGATGACAGATGAATGTTGTATATACGATGGACGGCAACAGACTAGGGAACACACGGTAAGATGACAGATGAATGTTGCATATACGATGGACGGCAACAGACTAGGGAACACACGGTAAGATTACAGATGAATGTTGTATATACGATGGACGGCAACAGACTAGGGAACACACGGTAAGATGACAGATGAATGTTGTATATACGATGGACGGCCACATGTTGATATGTGCTAGATTTTTGCCGTGGGACAGAACATGTGTCGTGAGGCAATGTTCCCTTATTTTTTCTTCCATATATTCACAAATTGAAATTCATTGCCATAAAGTAAATGGCTGTCTTCTGTACAAAAAGACAAGTAAAAGCCCTATGATATCGTTAAGTTGATAATTTTGATAAAGAATATATTATACAAGTCGGACGTACTACACTTTTAAAAGTAACCAGTCCAGTAGATTAACGCAATAAATCATAATCCAAAATATCAAAACTAGTTTAGGTCATTAATACTCATCAATATACTCAACTACAGCTATACATATCACTGTATACATATCAGTGTATACTTATCACTGTATACAAACATAAACACGTTCACACACCGCATGTGGTGCTTCGGACATTTTATGCTCCTAGAGCCATTGTATAAGCTCTGGGTGTATTATCGTATCCCATGGTGCGGATCGTTTCTCGGTTTTGTCTCTGGTTTGTCTGGTCCAGACATTATATATAGGCCATATACCTGGGCCATTCCTGACTGTAGCTTGAACAATATGTACTCCCACAGTCACTGTTAATGTACACCCTGGCACTTCATAAAAGCCCGGGACACGTGAGGCAATTTCTACAAGTCTGCTGCCATCTGCAACATAATTCGCCACTTGTGTCACCCTTTACGACTAAAGTTTGACGTCATTGAAACTGTAGACGAATATAAAGTAGACTGTTCTGTTCCAGGGCGACACCTGTACAACCAGGGGATGTTGACCGTGTGTCAGCATGTTACATCTTGTTACTAACTACTTATCGGATTGTGTATTTTCGTCATGTCAGTTTTGTCTTAATGTGAGGACAAAACTGTATCTGCAAAAGCTTGTTACATTACACATTCTCAAATATTGATTTTTTCCTACTATGTTGAAATGTAAAGGTAACCTAAGTGGGGAACAGCGTGAGAGGCTGGCGACTACTGCTTTAAAACAGGTCTGTCGGCAGATCTGACGATATCTCCATTGCTGCCAGACATGGATTGCTTTACTTACAATCCCACAGCGACACAGCATGGTCGTTCAAGGAATGACATGGTGATTGTCACGTATGATATGGTTATTGTAAGGATTGACATCAATTTTGTAGGAATCGGCGTTGTTAGAACTGACACGGTTATTGCTTGTTCTGACAGTATTTGTTTTGACTGACTGATTATTATTTTGTAGGATTGACATGGTCATTTATAGGGCTGATGTGGCTATGGTTAAGATGAACATGGTTATTGTTAAGATCGACATGGTTATTGCTAAGATTAACATGGTTATAGTTAAGATTGACATGGTTATTGTTAAGATCGACATGGTTATTGTTAAGATTAACATGGTTATTGTTAAGATCGGCATGGTTATTGTTAAGATCGACATGATCGACATGATTATTGTAAAGAGTAACATGGTTATTGTTAAGATTAACTGTTATTGTTAAGAACGACATGGTTATTGTTAAGATCGACATGGTTATTGTTAAGATTAACATTTAAGATCGACATGGTTATTGTTAAGATTAACATGGTTATTGTTAAGATTCACATGGATATTGTTAAGATCGACATGGTTATTGTTAAGATTAACATGGATATTGTTAAGATCGACTGTTAAGATTAACATGGTTATTGTTAAGATTAACATGGATATTGTTAAGATTAACATGATATTGTTAAGACTGACATGGTTATTGTTAAGATCGACATGGTTATTGTTAAGATTAACATGGTTATTGTTAGGATTATCATAGATATCGTTAAGATTGGCATATCTATTGTTAGGATTGACGTGATCATTTTATGATGGACATGGCTATTGTAAGGATTGACATCGCCATCGTTAAGATAGATGTACATTTTATCAGGATTGACGGCTATTGTAAAGATTGACATGGTCATCGTTAAGATGGACATACATTTTGTTAGGAATGATGTAGTTAGTTTTTGGTTACCAAAAACTTTTTGGTTACCAAAAACTTGACATGGTTGCTGTGACTATTGACATTATTCCTGCGACTGATGTAGTGATTGTTAGGATAATCATGGCTGTGATGCTTAAAGTGGTGCCATTGTGAATATTAGGATTGCCATTTTCATCGTTAATAATGAGTCGTTGTGTTTAGCGTGGTCCCGACACCGGCGGTCCGCGGGGATGGATCTGTACGGGGGTCTCGCTGCCTCAACAGGGGGGTCTGTGTATCACACGGACAAGGGAGGCGTGGCCAAAATGGCGGACATCATTAAGGTAAAACTGTGATATCAAATGTCAGGAACTCGATATGTACTACTCGTGACAATTGTAAGGATTTTCTATATTGGGTGCCTGATGATGTACTTGTTTGCTAGATATTAATGATCGAAAATTGCATCCGAAAGTTATAGGACACAGGTACGCAGAGCGGTATAGATGTTGAGTTATGGCCAACTGAATGATATTTATTGCATATGGAATGGAGAAAGTAGTTTTCTTGGAGTTCATCCCCCATAAGGTAATAGAGGATTTAAGTTATAATTAAAGTGTTTGTCTTAAAAACTGTTGTCATCCCTTGTTTTCATCCAAAATGTGTAACTGTATCCCAAATAAAACTTGTAGAACTAAAACTTGTAGCGCTAATCAGACAAAGATAATCGAAGTTAGACAAAAATATATAAATATGTTTCTGTAACACGGTCACCAGCAGAGGTAAAATGAATATTGTAACGTTCAAAAGTAGCTTTGTTAAATGTTCACTTGTTCTCAAGTACCACTGACTAGTAACACATTCACAAGTAGCGCCCGTACCCCTCCTAACATATAGGAGTCAGTGACGACGTCAACAGCTACGATCCTGAAGCTCGACGTCGTTGCACCGTCAGTTAACGAGGTTTTCGACATCCCCGTGGACGCCACCATCAAGGAGGTCACCATCAAGATCATAGCCAACACAACTACAAAACCAGGCGACATTCTCAAAGATCCTTCCAGTAAGACACTATTCAATTCGTGGTTTGTCCATATCTGTACTGGCTACCCAATGATAAAGGGAGACTTCATCAGATTATATAATGTATGTGGTACCAAAAAGTAAACGCAGTGATGAAATCTCGCTTTTCAACTTGAGAAACACATAGAGTTTTGTTTGTTTTTGACAGAAGTATCTCCCTGATGTGAATCTGTATTAATTGTGTTTTAGATGGGACAGTTCCAATGATACCGGGGAAGTTTGGAGACAATACCATCAAAGACCTTGGAGGAGGCGTCCGCCTCATTAAGATAAAGGTACTAGCATTATACAGTGTAGAGCGACAAAAAATGGGACTTTTAACATTCCCCCAATAGAAAGCTGTGGATTAACTCGAATTAACTCTTAACCACCACCTGAACACACATTAGTATAAATGGTTTACATTATTGTGTTATCAACAGTGGATATTCAATCTGTACTTTTGATATTTAAATTTCACCTTTTTCACTGTTACGAGGTGATTTCTTACTTGAAATGTTGGGTTTTACCCAGGAATCACTAATCAGTCAGACAACTTCAATAGATGAATCAGTTATATTCAAACGTATATTGGTTTAGATGACAAAAAGGCAATTCAGTTTGTATAATAATGTCAGGATCAACAGGGAACAATAGTTAAAGTCAGTCCACTGTCGAATGTCCAGAATGTTGTCAATGTCGAGTGTCTTGAAACAGCCCTGGAATCTAGCATATTGTTTATAAGCGTCTTCCAAACAGATATCTAAAACCTCACTTGGCAAGTACATCAAAACCGTGTCAGGTTGAAACAGACATCGACTCGCCTTCTTGTCCCTCTGATACAGGTACAGCCAACAGGAAACTGTCCCGTTCTCTAACGGCCGAGCAGACCATGTTATGTATACAACAAGGGCAGAAAACTCTTAAATCAACCGCACCATCTGGAAAGCTCATTCAAATCTGGCCACGGCAACACATTATAATTTTCATCAGTATATATTTACGTCAGTTTTTACTGCCAATGATATTACGCACATTTACTTACAAATGCTATGTTAAACCTAATTGTTGAATATTTCATCATTATCCCATTGTGGTTACTCAGCAACAGCTAAGTAGCTGGGATATTACCTATTGCCAGAGGTAGGGAAAGCCCTGTAGGAAACTATTGCTGCCTTTGAAGGTATGTACAACACAGTAACTTTGTATATTAAAGACCCCGATGCCTGGCATGTGGCACCTGATGAAAATGGACAGTTACCACTGGGACCTTGAGGTGACCGCCCAGAGCACCATCGACTTCAGCACCAAGTTTGTACAGACAAACCCCTTGAACGGATTCCAGTATGAGATTACAGGAAGACCCATTGCAGGTACCTGACTCGTTAACAGGGAAACCACTATTGACATAACCAAACACTGAATGACGAGAATTATCTAGATTCAGTAAAGTGCAGATTGGCAAGTTATTTAGAATTGCAAGAAATGTATATTAATGATTACAAAACAATATTTTTAGGTGAAATGGCCACAGTTATTATCACCGTCCCATCAATAGACAAGATAAAAGGCATAGACCAAGTTGTTCTGACAGACAGTGCCGGGAAACCGCTAGAGTCGTCTTCCTTGACTCAAGGTCGAGGACGGGCAGCATCCATGTTCAAGGGTAGCTTCATCCTTCCCAAAAAGGTAATTAGCTGGAACAGTCAACATTTGGCCTCGTGCATGTTTGATTAAAGGGTGAACAATCACTGTGGTGCCCCACATCACCTAAGAATCCCACCTATTTAACGTATTTACATAACAGTAAACAGTTTAAATCACCATGCATGACCGTTGTCATGGCTTTACAATGTTTTCAATGTGGCACCAATATCCACTAGACGCCAAAAGAAACGTTACCCTCCTACCTTTATGAATTACTGAAAAACTATGAAAGATATGTTAGAAGGTTTTAGTTTACAACAAAACTTAACAACAAAACTTTATGCAAATCACGAAAACAAATTCTCAAATGCATTCATATTTAGGTGAAATGCATCTTTTTCAGAAGAGTGAAATTGTCCTATATTCGTCAAGGCCGAAATAAACTAATAATAGTGATATTTTGATGCCCAAAAGAAAGGTTGAAATAAAATTCTGCTTTGGGACAATGATAAACCATTTAAAGTCACCATTTTTCAACTACTATAACAAGAACAACTGTTGTAGAGTGTGTAAATTGTAAACTAATCATTCCTATGATTTCAGTCTTTTAAAATATTTGCATGATTTGCATTAGTGAAAACAAGTAAAACGTGTCTCTGATATTGTGAAAAAATGTTTAGGAACATCTAACATTATCTTTGTTAATATTTTTGCCTGCAAAGTAACACTTTTCCATTTTCTGTTTACACATAGCAGTATCAATCGCCAAAACGCAGCAATATTCAAGCAGTATTTACATCCATTTTACATGTGGAATTATTCTATTGGGTATAAAGAGAGCCTAGAATACATGATCTGATACACAAGTACGAGAAATATGCCACTATTAACAGGGAGAAAAACAACCATTGGGATGGTGCAGATGGGGTCGACATACAATGCTGTTGCCAGCGCCATCGGATGCCACCGTTATAAGAATTATTTAGGGCTTCGGACAGACTGGGGTCACCGTACACAGACCAAACAGTGGCCGTCCACGCATCAAACGCCAGCTGAAGATAGGTTCCTCCGTCATTAAGGAAGGAGGGTAACGTTTCTTTTGGCGTTTAGTGTAGGTTGGTATCAGTGAGAGAGATCCAAATGGTTATAACGGGACATTGGTTTGAAACAACAAAGTGTGTGGTATAAATATACCCTATCAAGGCAAGTATAATAGGGAGGAAGAACAGTAAAGAGCCTACAAGGGTAGTTTGGTTACAATGAGTACTTCTCACCTATAGTTGCTCATGCAATAGACCACAAGACCTGCCCCGCCCTGTAACGAATACTACATGTGGTGTCTCCTTAGGCAATATACTGTGCTCGAAATATGACCCTGCTGACCAGCATCCAAAAGGTACCAATTGTGATGCGATGGCAATGTCCATTATCCTTCTATTGCTTAAGACAACTTGTGATGTACTCTTCTCGGGAAGATGAGAACTAAATTCGCGTGCACACTGACCCACTGATTGAAATAATGACGCAACTTTCAGCATACTTTACGGTCTGGATCTGGCGCAATATATATATACGCATTATCAACATCTCCAAGATTCGGCTATTCAAAGGCCACCGAGAAACGACAGGAGCATTACTAAATATGGCATCAAACAGCATTCACTCACACATTCACCAACCCGCCTGTGCCCATTTCGTCAAATCAGTGTGACTCTTCTTTGAGCGGCATATTTAGAAGTTGGTGAATCAGATAAGGACAAACTTTATGGATGAACAACTTCTTTATTCGGGAGATGCGACGTTTCATACAGGTTCTTGTATCGTTGTCAAGCAAGTATGACTCTATGACTCTATGTATCATTGCAGGCGTTCCAGGTAAGCATCACCGGCGCTGATATCCTGCACTTCCCCCTCCAGAGACTGGACCCCACCAGGATAACTCCTATTGCAATCAAGCTGGACATTGGGACCTTAGCAGGTAGGTTTCATACAGGGCCTGTAGGCCACTGAGCGCCATCACATGATAAATGTCATACAATTCTTCACGAACAAGTTAACGACAAGTGATTTGATTTTATAAACTCTGAAGCATACGTTTCTTTACTTGAATTTGTTCATGGGTTTTAACATTTACAAACTTTCTCATAAATTACTGGACCCAGTTAAAAGAATCAGACGGGATTGAATTGTAGCGTTGTCTGTGGCGTCATCCAACTCCCCCAACAGCGTTATGGGAACTACAGTATATCCTTCCTCAGTACTACTTCCACCTATGTCGTGTGTATGTCACAATAACTTTGCCCTTTGAATACATGTTCAGAATCATGACTTTCTTTCAGGTTTGTCATATCAAATACCGAACATTTAACGCGTGTGCATGTATGCCGTAAATTCTTGGATTGGTGCCGAGTCTATTTCGGAAGGTTCCGAGATCTGCTTCCAATGGTTTGTCTGTATAGATTTTTAACATTTCGTCAAATCTTCCACGGGTTTATGCGAAGATAGTTTGCCCAGGAGTTTTGGGGTAAAGTCTTAGATATCGGACAAACATTATAGGCGATCTATGAAAGAAACAACTTTGTTGATGTATTTTAACAGCCATTCATCATGTACTGTTTAAATATACTGCAGCTCACCAGTGGCCACTAATGAACACATTAATATTGCTGACCATTGCTGACCACAAGGCTGACTTTGTTAACCAACAGGTTCCCTATATGTTGACTCCACTCTCAACATTCCCTACACCGTGGCGAACAGAGGCGACAGCAAGACCGCCATCAAGGTGAACATTAAAGACGACCTTGGGTTCGCTGTCAACCCCACCGAGAAAACATTCAACCTTGACGGCGGAGCCAATGCCACGGGGACGTTCACCATCCACGCAGGCCATACAGATGGGGTCACCACGTAGGTTAACAACTCACGTGCCAGAGTGATCTATGATATGGAGTCATAAGCTTGTTTAACTCCGCGTTCTGTAATGTACTAATTCTATCTGGACCAGACAATCAAGTGACTGACTTCCGAACATCGATCTATGTAATTAACATTTATAAAACTTCAGCCAGTTCTGCCACCCTATCCCGTTAGTGGCCTATTACGATAAGAATGGGCTGATGAAGATCAATTCTAAATCGGATCTTCTCAGGCGCAATCACTATATGTACCTCAACTGTCATGATTATGGCTTGTTAAACATATTTCGTGTTTGAGAGGGGCAGTGGGGTAGCCTAGTGGTTAAAGCATTCGCTCGTCACGCCGAAGACCCGGGTTCGATTCCCCACATGGGCACAGTGTGTGAAGCCCATTTGTGGTGTCCCCCGCCGTGGTATTGCTGGAATATTGCTAAGAGTGGCGTAAAACCATACTCATACTCGTGATTGAGAATGTTATTCTATTTAGGAGATAACCATGCTGAATTCTAAATTCAGAGGTACGAGCACTGATTAGATACTTATATATTTCATCCCTGAATAATTGTAAATATCATAAGTCAGTTTGACCTTATATAAGGCACATCATGTTGAGTAGGGGAACGATCTTAAGCGAGATTCTGGTCTTGCTTTTATTTTAAAGTGGTTCTCTAGTGATGAGGTTAAGAGTAAAGATCATGTTCTTTGAATCTGTTCAGAACGGTTACGGTGTCGGCTGAACCTGATGGCGTGTCAGGACACAGTCCACAGTATGACACTCGCAGGATCACAGTGGAGAAACACGTAACCAAGGTGAGCACGACATAGGGGTGTGTGTATGTGCGTGTGCATGCGTGAGCGCGCTGATGTGTGTGTGTGTGTAGGTGTGGGTGTGCAGATTGGATGTGTGTGTGTGCAGATTGTATGTGTGTGTGGGTGGTGGTGGTGGTGTGCACATTGGATGTGTGTGTGTGTGTGCAGATTGGACGTGTGTGTGTGTGCAGATTGGATGTGTGTGTGTGGGGTGGGTGGGTGTGCAGATTGGATGTGTGGGTGGGTGTGCAGATTGGATGGCACCGAGGCCAGCTACGACATCGACAACATCTCGTGGAATTCGACATGGTCACGAGCACGGAACTGGCCCGGCAGATTCGCACCCAGTACTCGGGAAAGCTGTCCATCCTATACGATCGCGTGCTGCGGCACCGGACGATCGTCAAGGACAAGAGCGACACGTTGTGGAACATCAACCTGAACGTGCCGGCTCGATTGATGAAAGGCATCTTGACCATTCCCGTGGTGGAATACGAGCCGTTTCAAAGAAACAGCGAACTCACTTGGAATCACGAGATCACGAAAGTGGAAGTGACCGTCGAAGGCGTGCCCAACCAGCTGTTCAGCCAAGGCATGCGAGCTTACCAGCAGTGGGACGAGATAAGAAAACTACCGGCCACCAAGCGTCACTCGCCTGAAGTCAACGACATCGTCAAAGAACTGGGTTTGCCCTACGAGACGCTCAGTAGGTACCTGGATAAGCATTACGCGCTATGGCTGGACATGCGATCCAAGGACGACGACAGACTACACGTCACATCGACAACGGCAGTGAGGGGATCACCATCCAAATCACCAAGAAGGCGCAAACCCCGGCCGGCAAGTTACATTTATATTTGTACGTGATTATGGACGCGCAACTCAATATAGACAATGGAAGATTCATGCAAGCCATTTATTGATTTACCTCGAGATCCCCACTGCGCCATCGTGTGCGGTCACATGGGATGCGGCAAGACGGCATTCATGCTGGACACGCTGGAAGGTTACTATCGTGACGTGTTCGACCACATCGTCATTCTCTGCCCCACTTAGGGGTGAACAAGACGTACACGGAGAGACCGTGGGTGATAACGGACCTGGACGTGCACAAAATCGATCTGGGAATTCGTCTGCAGGACTGGTTGCGCGCTTACCACGACAAGCTGAAAGGGGAATCGACGCTGTTCATCCTGGACGACTGCAGCGCGAACAAGGAGATGGTTAGAAAACGAGATGCGCTGTCGTACCTGGCCTTCTCGGGTCGACACATGAAACACAGCGTTTGGATTCTGATGCAGAAATTCAACTCGGTGCTGAAAGATTACTGGAACAGACGCGATGGGTTGGCCTGTTTAACTACAAGGACAGGGATTCATTCAAGGACTGCTTGCGAGAAAACGACGTGATCCCGACCAAACAAGAATGAGAACGAGCGAAGAAACAGCTTGCCGAAATGAAACACGCCAAACTCCTGTTGAAAACCGACCAACCAGTTGCGTATAAATTGACTGCGGGGATCATCACGGCAAAGCATTGTCAATTTAAAGAAGAAAAAAATAATAATTATAATAATATACAACATGGATGCGCAACAGGAGGAGGAAACCCCGACGGAGGAGCAACGACGACACCGATACAACTAGTCACCACAACCAAGAATCCTAAAAATGTCGCCGCTGGTAGAAAAGGTGGTTTAGCCAAGCACCACAAAAATAATACCCATTACACTCCGTGGATTGTTGCCCCCGTGGCAACAAGATTAAGCGTTGTCGTCGTTATGCTGCTATATAATAACAAGCAACAACCACCACCACCGCAACAGCAGACGACGCAGTTAGAAATAAATCCGCATGTTATGTTATAATTTTTGTTAAAGAAAAAAAATAAAAAAAATTTATATACGCACACGATGTCGTCCGAAGGAAAAACATTTGTCAATGATGCATATCACGCTGCCGTGGTCGACGGACTAACCATAGGTTACGCTCGCTTAACGCAAATGGTTCTCAAACAGCTGACGATCAAACTCGATTTCAACGTGCAGGACATGGGCATGCTCGTCATGGACGTAGGGATGGCGATGGCCACCAAGGACATTCTCGTGAAACAAGGAATTATACCGGAAATATTTTGAAGTAATATTAAAATAACACATAATGTAAAAAAGAATGGCTACGATCGCCATGATGGTCGGTGGTGCATTAGTCAATGCCCTGGCATTTTCAGGCAGCAATTATCTCTTCTCCAAATTACGAACGTCGAACGCGGCCGAAATGGAATCGGAACGTAAACGCACAAGCCGAGTACACCCCAAAAATGCGTGCAGAGAATACATTTCATCAACGACCAACTCACGTGCGAAAACCACGCCGTTCAAACGTTCAAGAACGTTTTGCTCACCGGCAAACGACTCGAACCTCTCGGCATCGAACCCCCCCTCTCGCAGTTTTACACGCCTTCCCCGGAACAGAAAGACCGGGAACTGATTTTCGTGGCGCTGGGTCTAGCGGCAACCGTGTTAATCGCCAAACAATTAGACTAAAATATATTTATGTGTATATACTTAAAGATGGGAAGGCGTGCACCTTTTAACTGCAAGTACGTGCTGCTAGGAAAAACCGAAACCTGCGGCAGGAAATGCATCACCGGATATTGTGGCATGCACATAATGTCCATACGAAAGGGTTTCTTGAATTACTCGTGCGAAGTATGCGGCAAAGGGGTGAAATGCCATTATCTTCGTTGCAAAGCCCACGTCGTGGACGTGGTACGAGGCCATCTCATCTACTTGACGAAAAGAGACTATCTCAACGAACGCAACCGACTTCTCAGAATAAAAATCTAACGTGCATGCCGAAAATCGCTTTTTCTTAAAAGTCGATTGAAAGTTTAACTATCCAACGTATTGACGTGGTTGCTAACATTTAACAGTGAGACATACTTCGCACACCAACAAACTACTAGAGATTTTGACTCGCAGCCGAACATAGCGATGAAAATCCTATTAGAGATTTGACTTCACATGTGAAAAACCTTATTAGAGATTTGATTTTGCATCTGACTATAGCGAACAACCTATTAGAGATTTGACTTCGCATCTGAATATAATTATTTTTCATTTAGAAAAAAGTTTTCACGCATTGATATAGCAACGATGATTACCGTTTGAGAACTGAAAAGGATTACCTAAAACCCGGAGTGATTGGTATTACTCCCGTTTGAGGAAATGTCAGCAGTTGCGATTGCTCGGCATCGTCGACGAACCTCCTCAATCCATGGTGAAACAGCTCAAACTCCAAGTGAAGGAGCGTGAGCTCAGAGGTTATTCGCGCATGAGGAAAGCCGAGCTCATCGAACTGCTCGAAGAACACAATCCTGTCGAACTACGTTCAAAGGAGGAACGTACCTAGACTTGTCAACGTACTACAAGAATAAACAAGCCATGGTCAACGTCAAAAACAAAGGGGATGACTGCATGAGGGTTGAGATCAGATCCGCAAAGTTTCCAGCCAAAGCACATTCAGACAGACTTTCGAGCTATCTCAAAGACGATGGGATCAACTGGGACGGCATAGACGAACCCACCACCATCTCCCAGGCCACCAAAATCGAAAAAACCAGAACGACGACAGAGCCATCAGTATCTTCCGACACGAAGGGAATAAAACGATCGGGCACAGGATCAGCTCCCTCACAAACGAACACCGCAAGACGATCAATATATTCATGTTCCAGCAAGGCGACAAGTATCACTACACGTGGATAAAATATTTCATCAGACTGTTGTACGATCAATCGAAGCATAAGGAAAAGAAACACTTCTGCGAAAGGTGCCTGCATGGCTTCACGTGAGCCGACCTGCTGGAAACCCACCGTCACCATCATTCCCATGCACATGACCCAAAACGACTGGCGAACTCATAAGAAAGCTAAGAATTGCCATATGTGTGACGAACCCCTGAACGGGGATGTCGTGAGAAATCACTGCCACATCATCGGTAAGTACAGAGGTGCCGCTCACAACGCATGCAACTTGAAGCTCAAAATCGATACCAAAACCATCAAAATCCCCGTCGTGTTTCTTCGAGGTTAAGATTCTCACCTGATCCTGCAGGCCATCGCGAAGATCGACGGCAACATAACGTGCATCCCCAACAACATGGAAAAATACATCTCATTCTCGTTAGACGGTCTGAGATTTATCGATAGCGTTCAGTTCCTGCTGTTGTCTCTAGACAGTCTGGTGAACGCCAACGACCCGGACGACTTCGACATCACCAATCAATACACCGACGGCGAGACTCGACTGCTGCTGCTGAGGAAGGGAACCTACCCCTATGAGTACTTGGACGATTTGTCCAAGTTCGATGAGACGCGATTACCTCCCATCGACCGCTTTTACAGCAACTTGACTGACGTGGCCATCACCTCGGACGGTAACGCGCACACGATTAACGTGTGGGACAAACTGGGCTGCAAGAATTCGGGCGATTACCATGACTTGGACTTGAAAACGGACGTGCTGCTGCTGGCCGACGAGTTCGAGATATTCAGATATACGTGCTCGAAACAGTACGGTCTGGACCCCACGTGGTATTTCTCATCTCCCAGTCTCTCTTGGGATGCCTTGTTGAAAAAGACCGGCGTGGAGCTGAAACTACTGATGGATTACGACATGCACCTGTTCGTGGAAAAAGGCTTACGAGATGGGATTTCCATGGCCTCCAAACGATACGCCAAAGCCAACAACAAGTACGTTCCCGGTCACGACCCTGGCAAACCGACCAAACACATACTCTGTCTCAACGCCAAGAACCTGTATGGCTGGGCCATGAGTCAGTATCTCCCCACCGGGGGATTCGAATGGGTCTCCTCACCCGAGATGATTGACGTGAATAGCATCGCGCAAGATTCGAACAAAGGCTACGTGCTCAAAGTGGACTTGGACTATCCCGCAGAACTACACGAATCACACAACAGCTATCCGCTAGCTCCCGAACGATTGATGGTGAACCTGAACTGGATGTCCGAATATCAAGGAAACTTGCTGGGAAACAACAAGCTGGCTAACGTCAAACTTGATGAAAAAGTCAAAATACGTCGTTCACTGTCGCAGTCTGCAGCTGTACTTGTCGCTGGGAATGAAACTCACGAAAATACTAAGTGCGCTCCAGTTCGATCAAAGTCCATGGATGGAACCTTACATTCGGTTGAACACGAATCTGCGAAAACAAGCCACAAGCGACTTCGAAAAAAACTTGTACAAGCTCATGAACAACTCGCCGACTGAACAACATGAACGACACCAGCGACTACCCTAAAGATCACCCTATGTACAGCCAAGTCAACAAAAAATTGCTCGGCAAGATGACGGACGAACACGCGGGCACGCCGATCGCCGAGTACGTCGGCTTAAGACCCAAGATGTATTCCATCAAAAAAGCCGACGACAATGAAATCTGAAAGGCGTGAAAAAACGTGGTGAAAAAACACATCAAGCACTCCAGATTCAAGGAAGCCCTGTTCAAGAATAAAACGTTCAAACACCAAATGAACATGCTGAGAAGCGACGGACACCGGATATACGGACTGAGAATCAACAAGACATCGCTGTCTCCCATGGACACGAAATGATGGATCACCATCGACGGTTCCACCACTTACGCGTACGGGCACAAGCGCGTATTATTGAAAGCTTACGCACACATGCGTACATATATCATGGAGAAAATTTATTACACGCCCGCGCGGGTACTGGAAAGTTGTGGATGCCATCCCAAAACTCGCCAAAGTCGCTCGAGTCTCTGAAGAGAAAGCCAAAGCCTGGCTTAAAAAAACAAGCCATCTGGCAAGTCTACCTGCCGGCGCCTCGATACATCCCGAGAAGAAAATTTGACATTTCAACGCCGAATCGCGTCCACCAAGCTGACCTCCTGTTTCTCCCTCATGACAGGTCGAGGTGCAAAACCTACAAGTACGCCCTGACCGTCGACGACGTCGCCAGTCGCTACAAGGAAGCCAAACCGTTGACGACCAAAGATTCGAATGAAGTCGCCAAAGCCTTTGAACGCATATACAAACGCAGTCGCTTGACCTGGCCTGCCGTATTGCAAGTCGATCTCGGACGCGAGTTCATGGGAGCCATGTCGCAGCTGCTGGCCAAGCAAGACGTCCAGGTGAGACGAGGTATAGCGGAGCTCACCGAAGCCAAGCCATCGTTGAGAGATTCAATCGCACCCTAGCGCGCCTGTTCTCGCACCAATACTCGCAGGATTTAATCGATCCCGGAAACAGAAACACGGAATGGGTTGTACACTTGCCACGAGTGGTGGCGCCACCGATCCCATATGGTCCATGAAAACGTACGACATCGACCTGGTCGACATCAAAGACGGCGAACCGAACTTGTACTACTTGAAAGACAGGCCACCGAGAGCATTCGTCCGAGAGGAGTTGATGATCGTACCTCACGACACAGTCCCTTACAGATCACCCACTGTGTGATGATAGTTTCTCGTCATGATTTTTTATCAATCTTGCATGCCTATTTTTCTGCTTAATGTAGCCAGCCAGCCACCCGTACAGCAAGCCAGAGCGCTCGGAGAAGCAACTACCCCCGAGGCGACCCGAACCTTTTCCCGGACCGACCCCATGCTCACTTAAAAGTCAATATTTCAGAAACTATTCTACCAATTTTCGTGAAATTTTGCATGCACCTCAGTAGTAGTATACACAATGGGGCTACGGCATTAGGTACCCCTCAAGGGCTCAATTTGTAAATTGGACCTGGTCCCGTAGCCCCATTGTGTATACTACTGGAGAGTCTGTTTTGGAAGTGCCTAAATGTGGATGTGGAGATGCCATTCTGTACGCGTATGGTTAAAAGATGTGGATAAAGATTAGGATGAGAATGTGGACAGGGATGTGTTGACAAGACAGAATTTCTGTCTATTGTAAACTCAATTTTGCTCAATAATTGAACTGTTCCAGAAAGTGGACAACACGACCCCTGAGTGTAACGTCACCTCCATGACCGGAAGTTGCAGTGTGGCTCAGATGGATCCATGTAGTTGTCACATGCACACGTGGTCGGGGACGGCGGTGTTCGGGGATGTGGGTTTCGGGCTGTTCCAGATATCGTCCACCGTGGGGACGTCGGGCAGCTTCACGTACGACAACTTCACCGCGGGACATACCATTGACAAAGGGGTCAAGACGGCCAGAATAGGGTACGTATTGTCAAACAAACTAGACATATAACAGACTTTGTTTTCAGATCAGTGCCAAGCAAAATTATTGTAATGAGCGCAGTAACAACAGCATATCTATAGAAAGTCGCTATACCATACACTCAACGCTTTTCATGCTGGAACACATATTCCATCGTCGGGAAAAGGAATGCGAGACCAAAATGTTCAAAGTACACCTTTAACCCGTATCAAATGCCTCAACATTGAATAGCCATTGTTTCATTCATAGTACCATAAAATGCGGGTGTATATTTTCTTTTGCTCGTCAGTATAGATCGCATTGAAAGATTCGTTTTGTGGAATCTAAATATAAACAAAATATGAAGATGAATCGTTTCACTGAATGCATGAATATATAATAGTCCATAATTTAAACATGGCATCATATTGTGTCGGGTTGCATGGAACGTCCGTTGAACTGTTACGTAATTCTAACTTCAATTCTTGAAACTTCTGAATGGGATCGTCAGATATACCCTGTGATTAATTGAATTAGCCTTTACCAGGAGCGACTGCTGCCACCCGGTGTCTTACATCAACGTGGTCGACATGGCCAGCAACACTGTTCAGTGCACGTTTGATTTGGCTCCTGGTCTCACCAAACCCATGTACGACTGTACGACTAATACTGCAACTACAACAACAACAACAACAACAACAACAACAAACAACTACAACAACAACAACAACTACAACAACACCAACACCAACTCTACCACCAAAAGTACTTCTACTGCGATGACCTCAACATCCCTAAAGGCCTCTACCCTGGCGTCCGTAGTCACACACACGGTAAAGTCGCCTCCCGAATACTGCACTACACTGCACAGTGGAACATTTATCCCGCTAGTCTAACCCGTACTAATTTAAAAATAAAACTCTCCATAATCTTCAGGAAATATATACTAAAGTCCATTGTACAATTATGACTAGTATCATAAGCATGTGTTCATGAATCACTGTCAAATAGTGCTGACACGGGTGTTCGCGATGAAGTCAACGTATCCCGCCCCTTAGGAAGGAATGAAAAAAACCCGTCGTGTTTATTGCGCATATATAGCGATGCGCGTGTGTGCGTGCTTGCGCGTGTGCGTGTGAGTGTATTTTTCTGTTGGTTTTATTGTGCCGGTATTATTCCCAGGACCACACCCCTCCAGTGTGTAACGTCACCTCCACACACGGCCGGTGTAGTCAGTCCCAGACATCGTCCGACGACTGTGACCAGCACGTGTGGTTTGGAACAGTTCAATTCGGAGATGAGGGGTCAGGTCTGTATCTGGTCAAGTCCACTGCTGGTGATTCCAGCGTCCTCAACTACGACAAGTTCGCCGAAGGAGACACCATTAGTTCTGGTTTGAAGACCGCAACTATGACGTTAGTTTGTTTTCCTTTCTTTGAACGTTCCATGTGACAAATGTCATAGATGACATAACACTTACTAACTAAAGATTTGAAATCGGATTTCTCAAAAATATTACAAACTTTATCTAAATATTATTGGTTGAAAACAGTCCTCGATTGCCCATGAAGTCAATCACTGGGTTGTCGGATCCAGTCATTTAGTTGAACTGTCGGTTAGTGAGGCGCTAAACAACAAGAAAACTAAACCTGCGAGAGTTGAGAACAGTGACTATCGTGGAATCCTTCTGCTATCGCCTGGCTGCCCTAGTGTAACATCGTACACCAACCACTACTGGTATATTTAGTCCAGGTTACATCAGCGTGCACAGTGTCGTGACGCAGCTGTTATACTGCTGACAACGACGTGCAACATGACTCACTGCCGTCTCCTCTCTCCCCCAGGTCCACATGCTGCACCCCCCTGACGTATATTGTCGTCATTGACGTCGCTCGCAATGAAGGACAGTGCAAGTTTGACGTTTCAGACACACAGGTATGCTTGTTTATGTACCAATATAAATACACGTTCGAAATACCTCCACTCATTTATGTAATGAGTGCAGAGGTAGTATTTTCTTAAATATTCATTTCTTCACCGATCTTGTTCAAATTTGAAATATAGGTTAATCATAACATATAAAACAATATACGATTGCAAAAGTCTAGATTTTTATTTTTGAAAATTATTGTCCAAACAGTGATTCGAACCCATGTCTTACTGACGCCGAACCATTGTGTTTCTACGCGCCAATGTAACACCCTCCATCCGAATAGTAAAACATCTCATTCTTATACGTACATGTTACGGAAGTTGACAGTTAGTTACCTGTAACATATGCTACAGTTTATTACACTTTCCCAATGAAGTACGTATTGTAGTATTTTGGGGCTGAGGCACCTAATCGCAAGGGTGCGAAGTCAGCGATCTAACTAACTCAGACAATGGAGAGGTACACAAAGTACGTGATATACCGGTTTGTCAGTCTTCAATGTTTGGGTGTCACAGTCAGTTATTTACCTGCCAAAAGAGAAGAAATGGTTCATATTGAGTATTTGACCATCTACGAATTATTATCTTCCTCTTTTCAATTACATAAAACTAAGTCGTGCCAGGAATAACATTTAATCGGGAACAAGTATTATATCTCGTGTATGTGATGTTAACAACAGACAGAGCACCACGATCACGGAAACATGCCTCTGTTATGCAGTACGCTTCTTTGAACATGAATGTAATTCGGAAAACTGGGATTATCTTGAACCAGCAAATCATACCAGTGACGATAGGGTTCATTCAAGTAATTGTCTTCAGACAAAAGGTCAAACGTGTCTAAACAGTTACAAAGTTCATTTCAAGTACGTCATATGTGATTACATTCTCGACGCCTATTCTGTTTCCAAGGTGCGAGCTGAAGGTGATACAATGCAGTCCCTATTACCATAAGCGAATAGTCAGAATTCATTTTAACAGACAGTGTTGCCTGACATCCTTGAACTGTTATCAATCAAACTTGTCATCTGTGTCATCTTGTAACAGACAGTATTATCCGAGGTCTTACCACGGGCACGGCTGTTTAGCTGCTTAACTCGCTGAAATTCGTTGTCCAGAGTTGCCTCCCTTAGGTACGCCAGAGACCTTTGATTATGGGTTCGATTCCTGAGTCGCGGCGATTACGTTTCTAGGTTTATTAGTACCATAGCCATGCCCATGAGTTTCACTGAAGTGGTAAACGTTTAAGGTGTGACGTAACTTGGGTTGTTTACATACAGTCTTTGAATAACGGATCCCCTGCTGGCTTGTTTTCAGTTACCCGAAAAACAAAGCAACTTAGCCCGCCACTAATGCTGACTGCTGATTTATGACTATCCGTGAGATGAAGAAAATAATATATTCTATGCAAAATCACACCTGAAATAAAGACAATAACATCTTTTCTTAACTGATGATTGTATATATAATGTATATGTACTCGAGGTAATGCATGTGTACGTTTTCTTAGACACATCCAACATATTTGAAGGGTGGCATCATTTCACCCCATCACTTATATGCCCAACAGGAATCTGAGGCAGAGGACACGCTATCCACAGGAGCGATTGCTGGGATCTCCGTCGGGGTCGTCGCGGCGGTGGTGGGGATAGTTTTTGTGGCAGTCCTCATCACCAAATACGGGACGTGTTCATCGGTCAGCCCATCCACTAATACTGGCAGGTTCAGAACCACAGCTTGGGACTAGATACTTGGACAACATGTGTGTGTTCATAGGAGGACATTGGGTTCCATACCGGTGATATTTACAGTGTATTCCACGGACATGATTAAATGGCAGTGTTGTATTACGTGTTATCAACCATTGAATGGATTCACGAGGAAATACTATACAAAAGTAAGTACACATCTGGTGTTTTGAGACTATTAAAAAAACGTAAATATTTTGCTAGCAATGTTCCAAATGGGTACGCTATCTATGGTGTTATTGCAACACGTACACAATGTTTGTGACTTGTGAGTCGCAATCAAAACACTTTTCTACATATTACGCTGTTTTTAGGAAAACATTTTAAAGCATCAGGTGTGTACTTTCTTTTGTCCGTCAGTTTATTTTCTGTTTTCCGTGTTAAATCATATACAACTCTAAAGAGGATAAAGATCGCCCGATTCATTCATATTAGTAGTTGATATGTCTTTAGTAAGGTATTTGCAGATGGAACCGTTTCGTTTTCATACATACACTACTTAAAAGAGGAATAGGACCATCCATTTCTTTCACATTACAATAGTTTCTTTATCACCCAGAGTGTGATTTTAGGTGCAGTCTTAACGTTTTCAAGAGATAAAATCGTAATAATGATATGTTAAATCACTAGCAGTTTACGGTTAGAAATTACTCATAACATGAATATTGCAGAGTTGTTTCAACGAGTTTGGATATTCCTAAAGCTACAACGTGGTCGACAAAGAATAATAATATTCAGATATTGAATCGTGAAATATCAGGCAAATACTTTTAAGACGTCGATAGATAAAAGTACATGTGAATGAAACAACCTGTAATTAGGTGACTTTAGAAGTATTCACACATATGTGATATATATGAAATCTGTTATAAGTTTGCTGCACCGATTACTCAATATATTCATTATTACTTCTTTGAGTGTCATTTTAGAAGTTGGAAGTCAGATAGAACAAGTATATATGATGACAACTTCCTTAATTCTAGAGCACGATGTTTAGTGAAACGTTGTGCTCTAGAATTAAAGAAGTTCTCATCCATATATACTTGATCTATCTTCATTATTATTGAAACCAATCATTAGGCCAAAGATTACTTCATCTTCCTAATTATGACGTGCTTACTACAACTGTCCTGAATTGTTGTCCAGCACGGAATATATCTACAGCCAATGTACATAAGTGGATGTATATTTATTGAGTCTACTGTGATAACTGCAACTTCGGTTGTTTGATCTGCTCAACTACCTTTGTGATGTGTATTTCTTTGTATCTTTCAAATTTCATAACTTTGTTAGACACAGTCACGTTCTCTTTCAAGAATTGTTTGTCCTTTGTTTATCAGGTTTCTTGTTCGAAATAAAATGTACACCCGTTAAAGTTTATTTTTTCTAATGTAAAGCTTTGGTTAGAAGATTTATCAATGTGCACTGCTGACCTGCTGTCGCCGTCACTCAGGTGCACGTTCCACACCCAGTCTGTCAGTGTGTGTGAGAACATTTATATAAAGACTCAGACATAATCATTGAATTCCAGAGATCATTTATCATTTAAATCAGCAGTCTTAAGTCATTTAAGACTGCTGATTTGATTGTTAAATGATCTTTTAAAGGTATTTAATGCGATCGTGTCGTTACAAACCTGATACACGTTAGATATAATCCTGATGAATTGTAGGTGCTCGTTTTTGCTACTTTTCTTTTCTCTAAGCATGACTATGTACTTAACAATAAATTTCGTAAATCGTTTATGAGATAGATATCTTATCGTTTTTTAAATGCCCAACTGATAGCATATACACGTAGTTTAAACGGTATATTACATGTGGTAGATTACATTTTAGTAACGATATCTTTCAAACATCGACAAAGTTTAGTATATTTTAACAGAGGTTTGTAAAAGAATATAAGGCTGTGTGCTCTTACTCTCAGTGGATATTCATATGTGAATGAAAGGGTTTTGTACATTTCGTCAGATCTTTCGTTTGATAATGGGAAGGATTTCGTCACAGTCTGTATTGGAATAACTACCACTGCGCCATGTCGACTTCACGTCAAAGGAAGCCGAAATCACTTCTGATGTATTCCGTTTTCCCAATACAGGTCATTCTGAGATTCGAACTCATGATTATTGGTTCTGTCAGTGCTATTAGGCAAGTTGTGATCTTAAGACATCGGACAAAATAACCCGGCTATATGTCGCCACATTCCTACTCTACAGATTCGTAAATTGTACATACGTTTGTTATCTGTTTAGTGACTACAAACATTGTAGTTGTTGCTAAGGGTTTACTAAGCACTGCGTGTATCCGAGTTTATCACTGACTGCTGAGTTTTGGTTTTACGCCGGTTCCACTATCACGGCGGGGGCACCAGAAATCGGCATTGTACCCATGTGATTATCCGGGTCTTTATCGAGCCAACGAAGCGTGTGTCTTCAGGACTGTAATGTGTGCATGTCTCTTCAGGACGAGATAATCCGTACGACCTAAAAGTTAAACTTCGTACTTAATATATGATGCATGGATTAGTGAGTACGGTGAATCTGTATTTAGTCTTATGACGTACAGATGATCATTGGCATGTGTTAACATCCGGCTGGCGATAAGAGTTCCGCCACGATATATTTCAGAACGGTCAGCTTAGGGTATCATTTATTGTTAGAGGGGGCTCTGATTAGAACCACACGAAGGAGCTTCCGTTAGTTTGTCCTGTACGACTGGGTCAAATTGTCTTTTAGAAATCTGAATTTATAGCAATCTTTTAAAATTGAATACTCTGATCTGTTTTAAGAACTGCCTACCATTACCACCAGGAGACGATACAGCAACGGAATTGTGACTTTGTTGATTGTTTTAACTATTTACAGATCGTAAGTATTAGTTGCTGGTGTGTTGTGGCATATTTTGTAAATCTGATCTGGCTCAAGGTGTGAAGACAACTCGTACTTCCCGTTGGTGTCTCGGAAGTAGTTCTGATTGTGAAGACAGTGAAGAGTAACAACGAAATGACGTCTTTTGGATTGAAATTCGTTATTTTGTTTTTGTGTGTCGTCTGCGTGTTGGGCTTTCTGCCTAACAGGTTCAACCTTCCGTCGTCTGACTTCACCCACCAGGACATCACAGAGGCCGCCATCTTGAGCGCTGTGGCGGATTTTTGTCAGGATTCGATACCTATTGGAAAATTCGGTAGAAGCAGGGATGTCGACAGCAGCAAACAACTAACAGCCAAGAAACTGTCTCAGGAGTATTGTGGAGGTTGGTTTAAACAGGGAGTCTGATTAAAGCTGTCCTAAAGTTTGCTTGATGTAAAGCGAAGACCTCCCGTGTATGGTGGAACAATACTAGATAGCGTTGAGACGATTTATAGTAGTGGCGGGGTTTCATGTAGAGTCGACTGGTCACAGCGTTAGTTTGGTTGACAAACAACACTAGTTATGAACTTTCTTAGGACATGTCTTAGTGGTTTATCATCAGCGCAAAGGTTTTATATATGTCGTTTGAATGTTCTTAACAACTTTTTTTTTTTTTTTTTTAATTTTCTCAACAACTTAGTGGCGGTCGTTCAAAACTAATGACTGCACGTTAATGAAACAATTTCAATGTCTCCTTAATATGAGCAGCACTATACAACAAAAAAAAAGCATGTGGCTTTAAAGGTAACAACAATTACTTTAAAACATTTTTTATAATAGGAACTGTTTCTGAGAAGCGGTTCCAGGAGGCCATCGATGACATCGTGAAGGCCAACAACAGAGTGGACCAGGACCACTACTCCGAGGCTGCCTGGCACGTCAACGGGGAGGCCATCAAAGAAGGTGACACTCAATTGATTTTGTTACAACAGGCGAACATTATAAGGTTAACTCTTCAAACAAATTACATAGATGATCTATTATTCAAGACTTCTATATTGTATTAATGGCTTGAAGTATACTAAATGTTATAAAGAAATGAAACGGATTCCGCAAATAAAACAGGCGTCATCATGTAAATATTCCAAATGGCTGGCAAGGTAAGATGTCTGCTTATGGGAGCATTTCGGCCTAACGATGGTCGCTCTCAGTACACTGCCCTTTGTGTATACGTGCCGCTACTGTCTTCCCCAGCAAATGAGAAGATGATGCTGTTACGGGAAGCATCAGTAGATGAACTAAACAAGTCCATGCCAGACTATGCCTTAGCTCGACATCTGATTGGTCAGTTTCTTCACGTTGTCCAGATGTTCTACAGCAATACCAACTGGCCGGAAATGAAGGGATCTGCTGTATATGACGCCTTAGGTACTTTACGTTGTCAGTTTGTTCAACTCAAGTTTTCGTCCCAATCAAAAAATATCATCAAAAAATGTATTTTTGGATGTCAATAACATTGACACCCCGTCTATGCATTATTTACAAAACTGTCAACTGATGTTTTTCCTTTAGATGCTATACGACCTGATATGCATATTTGTGGGTATGTGTACTAGTATTTGGGTAGGATGTGCGTATAACCTCTGTGCTTGTCGTTAGTTTAAAAGGTTAATGGGAAAAAACATATTCGCTTAATTATTTTCGCAACTGCAATGTTGCCTGAGAGTGTTTACCAGGACGGAGGTTGTATTTTAAAAATAACATGTAGATAACGTGATGTTTGAAAGACGGTAAAAATGAAAGAAAGGACAAATAATACGACCTGAGGAAACGAATGACATTCTTCAACAAATGATTACAAAAGATATGGTTACATGATTACAAAATATACACTACTCTTGCACTGGGCACTGTACTGTATATATTTCAACACACACAGGTATTCGCGGTGAACCTCTGATGGACCAGGCGCCATTCTCTATGGACACGTGCAGATCATGCAGGTTGGTACCGTTTTACTGTACTAAACGTCACGTCTCATTATCAGAAGCCGCATCTAATTTGCCTACTTCTTTCTTGAAGGTCACTCACAGATACCCTGTGTATCGGTAACTTATTGGTTGATGGACATCTGACCAGCGGCTACCGAAGTGGTCAGGACAGAAGGAAACCTGAAAGTGAGTAGTGGTGATGCTATTGTTATCATTATGATTACTAACAATAATAACTCACGAAATGTCACGTTGGTATCCAAGAACCCTTGTTCTCAGTGCCTTACATTTGGTCCCTTCTAGCAGGGATAATCTACAACATTACGTTATATAGTCTCCCTGCTTCTAGTCTCTTGACCCAGTGTGGAGGAGTAACAAGGAACACATCATTTCTCACACGCTGAGTAATACAGTGGGCTGCAGTGTTGGAGAGTCAGAAACACTGACAGAGCACTTTCTCAGAAACGTTCTTGTGGGTTCGACTGGACAACGTTTCTTTGGCAAGGTCCCATTTGCTGTCTTTGTTGAGTGTAGAGGGAACAGGTGCTGATCTGATGAAAACCAGCCTGACTGTGCCGGGAATACCCGAGCAGTCTTTGCTGCTTTTATTTCTTCGATCTTCGAATGAAAATAATAATGTTTAACACTCTTGATACCAACCTCAAGCATCTTCTCAGCGTCACATTCTTGTATCATTGAAACATTAGACAGACGACTGGACATTAGATACTGGATCATTGAAACATTAGACAGACGACTGGACATTACATACTGGATCATTGAAACATTAGACAGACGACTGGACATTAGATACTGGATCATTAAAACATTAGACAGACGACTGGACATTAGATACTGGATCATTGAAACATTAGACAGACGACTGGACATTAGATACTAGCTAACGTATTGTGAGAGTATATCAATAATATAACTGGACAGTAGTTATTTTGAAGTTTTCACAAAGGAACTGGCAACCGTATTGTGGCTGTATGCTGGTTATGTCGCGTCAGTTGTTATTCAAGAAGAAAGTACTAATTTAGGTTGTAAACAGAACCAGCATAGGCTAAGATTCACATAACGGTAACAGCAAAATACTTGTTTAAAGACAATTCAACCATTTGAGATGATGAAGAGCCAATAAATGCGGGGGACCACAGAAAAAGACTTCACTTCCCATTATGCCCTTGAAGGAGTCTTCTTTACCTATGCCCCATGGGTGCATGATCGGATTTTAGATTTCATATTTTGGATTTCACACATTTTCTTCAAAATGACAAAGTCAGTTATGCATTTTCTACTGTATCAGGAAATCCAAGTCTTCACCAGACTGGCAAATGTAGTCACGGCGGCCCCCACGACACATCCAGCACGACGTCTGCTGCAACTGGCGGCATCAACAAGGACAGCAGCGACCCCAGCCTATCCCCCCACTACTACCTCCACCAACAGGCGGCAGAGGGAGCTATACGACACACCACGGCGTTCTTCATTCACCCAGGTATTAAACCCTTTGATCACGATGCACTCATCAGCAACTGAGCAGGGAGATCATTCAAATAGGAACAGTAAAACAATAAAACTTTAAACAATTAAAAACAAATACTCTTATGAGTTTGTTTCTTTCAGTATATGGATTACGACATCTGATCGGAGACGGGAAATTTGGTGAGCTTTTACAGTTACCACTTTCGGCCTCTATAGGATTCGTGGTCCATGCTGGCGACTCCCTGGGCATTGCAACAGCACGGGAAAGTGTCACGAGAATAATGTCTGCTACTGAAGGGCGTCATTATGTGGTAGTCAGCCAAGATGACTCAGGTAGTGAATCTGGATAAGGCCAATCCTTTATGTTTATTTGTTCTTGGAAGAACAAATCCTCGTTAAAGTGGAAAACCGCTGTTTAATGCAGATTTTCCAACAATGCATGATATTAGAATGCTATAACCGTGAATAGTGAGATCTTAAGCCCCATTTAGCAATATTCGCGGCGGGGCCACCAGAAAAGGACTTCACATGATACCCATGAAGGAATCGAACCTGGGCCTTTAACCAAGAGATCGAATTCTACGCCACCCCATCTCCCTTGGAATAATTATTGAAGGTTAATCTCGTTTGTCTTTGTTATAAGGATTAAGTCTGTTTAGGTCAGACGTAATGCTGCAGTTGGACATGATTGCATGATGGTAGTCTCTATAATACAGTTTTATTTATAGAAGGTTGCGTGGTGTGTACACAAGTTTCTACAAACATGTTTAGCCTAAACTGGTCTGATTATTGAGCAAGTGTTTATTCTGTTGGATCCTGGCAGACAGCACCGATGTTATCACGTCCCAGGACGGGAATCGTGTTCTCCAGTATTTGACAACCCTGGAACCCAACACCAGCAGACCGTGTCCCAGTTTAGCCTTAACTACTTTAGAGACTGGTGAGTACAGGCAGGTACCCGGATGAAGCTATGACAACCCTTGTTTCAAGCTTAAAGTTAAGATATTCCGGCAAAAATAGCAATACTTTTACGGGCGTTATTTGAGTGTGTCTACATGGGATGATAGTTGATAAACATGAATCGAGAATTGTTCCACATCGGTCGATATTTGTGTTATATCTTCAGACATATATATATAGTATCCCGTCCTATGTTAACCTATCAAACCAATTATCATTAAGGTGAATACAAAGGCCATATTCATAAATGACAGCGAAAGTTGTTACAATCATCAAGGATGACTGACAAGACATTGTTAAATACAGTGACGGTAAACGATCTGGCACTTTGATGAAGATTTGATAATGTCTGGTCGATGATTGCTTGTCGATGTCATATCATAGGCCAAGTAATGCTTGTTCCACAAACAAACTCCAACTAGGTAATGTCTTACCACGGATATTAGATTCAATAACTAAATTGGTATCGCGTAAAACATACTGATTCAAGAAGGTTTTGTAGTGAATGCTATTTTTACACAAATTGTATTTTATGCGATTTGTGTGAATGGTGGGTGCTATCGGTAATGCAGGACAGGTGTTTTGGTGAACACCGCCATAAACAGTGGTATGCTGTGAATAATTCATATAATTTTTAAATAAGATTTTGCTTTCTCGCCCAATACAATCTGTTTCGTCGGATAATCGAAGCTTGTTATTCTCTGGTGTTAGCATTTTTTATTTTGTACGTCTGGAACTTCTAAATGTAACCCGCTTAGCCTCTATCCAGCTGCCGGTTTGATGGACCAAGGCTCGAAGATATATGTCTTGACCAACATGAAGCCAGGAGACCTGGACAGATGGGGTCACGTGTCTGCGTTGTTGACCAGAATGAAGCTGAGCGTGGAGTTTGTTCTGACCAGGAGCTGTGTAAATACATCACAGAAACATACAGGTACATATGTAGTGTAGATAGTCACTGTGGTCATGAGGATCAAGGTTTCAATAGGTTCAAAATAGCGTGTACTTGTAATTGCATTAGATGAATGAAGCGTTGACGTCGTTGCATGTCATCGTATTCTGACGTTGGGAGTTGCTCATGATATCGGTCTTTGGTATATTTTCTCCAGAGTCCATCATTTATCGAACAGACTGACACAGCTTGAATTTGGCGGACTATGCATAAGATTGCAACACTATCTCCAAAACCGTTATGTAACTAAAATAATGTTGAAAGTGACGGTAAACCCAGCTTGTGATCACATAAACTGAATGATGTGAGTACATGGGATATATCTTGCGAATAACCCACATGTGACGACGGAGACGGCATCAGGAACGTCATACGTTGTTTACGAGGAAGACATGGAACAGATTACGTCTTCAGGGTACGAGTTCTTCAAGGCGTTGTTCTTGAGCAAATGAACTTGATGCACTTATATCTCAGTTATCGTTTGCTGTTTTTGCTGAACAGCGATGGTACGTAATCATATACTTTACTAAAGCATACAACATGTCCCAGGACCTTCCCGGACGAGGCGATCTGCAGGCGCTGACCTGTACGCTGGTCTAGCATCAGCTTCAGGAGGATCCGTCTACACCACAGATAAATCCGGCGTTGGAAAAATGTCAGATATTATCAAGGTAAACATTATAAACCGCTACAATGGTAATTACACACACAATTTGAAAACTACCTGACATGATATTAGTTTTTACATACTCAGAATTCAAATGAATGCCAACTGATCCATTGGAATGGTTATGAAGTCATGCGCTTTTGTGTCACGACGTGAAATGTTCTGTTAATGAACCAAATATGTCGTCGTGAACACACATTCCCTTGTCAATGGCAACAATGATTATGAACAGACTTCTCTCAAATTTTATGAAAGATAATAACGAATATAAACATATGGCAGGAATCTGCGACAACATCCGGCGCGACTATTCTCAAGATGGCAGTTGATATAACGGCTGGGAAGTCGATTCCCATTCCCATTGATAACACTATCCGAGAGGTGACTATCAAGATCATAGCAGACGCCGGCCTCAGGGGGGGGAACCCGTCAACTCCCTGTCTGACCCACACGGTGAGTTAGCTACCCTCAGATACAGAGACAAGTTATCAGATGCGTTAACAGCTGATGTGTAGCAGTAATGAAAACGTTTGAGGAAGTTCTAATTCTATTCTCCTGAACGTCACCACCTATTGGCTGTTGATTTGAATGTATAATCTTTAAAAGGTAGGGGAACTTAATTTTCAATTAAGGATTGAAAATTGGGAGATATATCGGAATCAATCAAGGTTGATATGATAATAATGAATCATCACCACTTTCACTTCCTTATGACCATAGTTGTTTGTACAGTAATCGCTCTTGAAAGATGATTGGTGTATGATGTGAAATTTTCATGTGTACGATTTAACTGTCTGCAGTGATTTATCGACCTCCTTGAAAACCAAAATGGTGGTGCCTTTATAAGGTGTCTGCCATTAGTGTGGTATCTGTCTTGAGTGAAGGCCAAGCTCGAAAAGTTAATCCCTAAGGTATTATCCGTGTATCTCCAGTACTTCATGATGATGTTATACTGATTGTCACAGCATATGCTGTAATCTACTATCAACATTCAAATTCCCCACATGACAATACCATAGATCATCCATTGTGTTGATATTTCCAGGTAACGTTATCCCCATGGCAACTGTTGGAAATGTAACCATCAAAGATCTTGGAGGCGGAGTTCGATTTATCAAGATAAAGGTGTGGTTTGCTTATGAAACATATTGTTTATAGCAGTTAGGACTTTCAGGCGGATTATACAATAAAGATTTGATTCAGGAAATGTAAACAAGACAACACTATATCACTGAAATAAACAAAAAGATATAATAGACTACGGAGGACAAAAAGATTTTTTAAGAAAAAATAGTTAGTTGTTGTATTTGGTAATATATAGTGACATTATAACACCCACAATATTTTGTGTCGGGTGTCTTCTGTAAAATACCAAGTAAAACGTTTTTGATCACTTTTCACATAAGAATTCAAGAGAGCACATATCTACTCCATAAATAGCCATTCCACCATTTCCTTCCATGAGTATGTACCAATTAACCGGGAGATATGGTTTCTTTATGATGTATATTGCAGTCCCCCCAGCCCGGATTATGGCATCTGACGAAGAAGGACAGTTACCACTGGGACCTGGAGGTGACCGCCCAGAGCACCATCGACTTCAGCACCAAGTTTGTACAGACAAACCCCATGAACGGATTCCAGTATGAGATTACAGGAAGACCCATTGCAGGTACCTGGACACTCAGTCCTGGGGCGAAGCCCTCACGGCGAAACAAATACTGGATTTGAAAGTCCAGATGAAAGGTTTTCTTACTGTTGTTCTAACAATTTATCCATTACGAGAATTAAACGTAGTTAATCAGGAAAGAGGTTTAGAAAGGGACCCTTTTGAATTTTGATACCGATTTGAGAAAAAACATTGAGAAATGGTTATAAACGTTATCAAATGTGTTCATATGAATGGCAGCAGGACAATGTGTTCATACACATGAATGGCAGCAGGACAATGTGTGAATCATGTGTTATGAATGGCAGCAGGACATGTGTTCAATGTGTTCATATGAATGGCAGCAGGACAATGTGTTCATGAATGGCAGCAGGACAATGCGTGAAAGGGTTGATTTTAGAGGCTTTCTTTGAGCACTTTGTAACAAATGAGATGTCTATGACCCATTATTGAGCATCGTGGAGAAAGATGCTGTTGAAGATTCATGTTGAATCAAGGACTGGCTGATAGTTCGATCTACTCGTGAAGTTAAAAAAACTATTGTTCCCTTTTCGTTCATTTTAGCCATGTGTCATTTACTGGACAACGTATCGGCTGATGGGGTGCGAGAACCCAATGTGATACATTTGCAAACAAAAAGGGTGTGCCGTCTTCATATGTATTACCATGAAACTGATTTGAGAACTGACTGCTTTGTTGTGTTGCACAATTAACGTTGCTTATTTTAGGTGATGCTGCTACTGTAATCATCACAGTCCCGTCAATAGACAAGATAGGGGGGATCACTCAGGTCGTTCTAACAGACAGTAAGGGAAGTCCAGTAGAGTTATCTCCTTTGACTCAGGGTCGAGGTCGGGCTGCTTCTATATTCAAAGGAAGATTCACCTTGCCGATTAAGGTTTGTTAAACATCCATCACTTCATTATTATTATTGACTGAATTGTATACATGCATATATGATGACCAACTGGAGTTTGGAATATTGTGTCTGGATGTTTATCGTCACACCGTGCAGTCACGTTCAACACCTTACCTACAAACCTGGCAGTGCGGAAGATCGTCTATGTTGACCGTGACCTCCCTTAGACATGTCGGTAGAACAATCGGTTCCACACAGCACCTTGTGCAGTCCTTAGCATCCATGGTGGTGTTTACGTTTGTGTCCGCCACGACACTTGGCCCGACACCATGGTGTTTGCCGAGTATGATGTTCCCTGAGCTTGGCTTTGGCCGAATGTGGTGTTCTCCGCCCGTTTGTGTCCGCTGAGTGTGATGTTCCTTGAGCTTGGCTTTGGCCGAATGTGGTGTTCTCCGCCCGTTTGTGTCCGCTGAGTGTGATGTTCCTTGAGCTTGGCTTTGGTCGAATGTGGTGTTCTCCGCCCGTTTGTGTCCGCTGAGTGTGATGTTCCTTGAGCTTGGCTTTGGTCGAATGTGGTGTTCTCCGCCCGTTTGTGTCCGCTGAGTGTGATGTTCCTTGAGCTTGGCTTTGGCCGAATGTGGTGTTCTCCGCCCGTTTGTGTCCGCTGAGTGTGATGTTCCTTGAGCTTGGCTTTGGCCGAATGTGGTGTTCGCCGCCCGTTTGTTGGCTTTGGCCGAATGTGGTGTTCGAGAGTGATGCTTGGCTTTGGCCGAATGTGGTGTTCGCCGCCCGTTTGTGTCTGCCGAGAGTGATGTTCATCACATCATGTTTTACGATGAAATATTCCCATTTCAGACGTTCCAAGTCACTATACAAGGCACTGATGATGGAGGGAACGCCCTGCAGCGACTTGACCCAGGGAAGATATCCCCCATAGCTGTCAAACTACAAATAGGAACCCTTGCTGGTGCGTTAGCATCGTTACTATGTGCAACTACCCCGTGAAGATACAGAATTAGTCGTCTTCAGCAACCCATGCTTGTCGTAAGAGGCCATTTACGGGATCAGGTGATCTGGCTCGCATCTGGTTGATGCATGTCATTGGTTGATGCATGCCCAGCTCATGACGTCAATCAGTAGATTGTCTGGTCAAGATAAAGTATATTTAGTCCGCCTTCATTTTGCTTGAATATTCTCGCGTGTGGAGTGGAACGAACGAAGGAACGAACGAACAATCATTGATAGCTATACTTGTGCGTTTCTTGAAAAGGTTCTCCAATGTCACAATTGCAGTGTTAGGTGGGGAGGTGTGTGGGATATACATTACAGCTATTTTATACCCAGTACTGATCACGTTTTTCTTAGTTGTGTAATAGATTCATTTTTTTTAAAACTTGCAACCTCCTTTTCATTATCCCTTAGGGTCTCTGTACATCAACGAAGATCTGAAGATCCCCTTCACTGTGACCAACACCGGGGACAGCAAGACCACCATAGCTGTTGACATCACAGACGATCAGGGATTTGCTGTCAGCCCATTAAAGAAGACATTTGCCCTGGAAGGAAACAGTAGCGCCACTGGTAGCTTCACATTGCATGCTGGGAGCACTGTTGGAGTAACAACGTAAGTCCTCGCCAAATAATTAACAGTACAAAAACATATCAGGGTTCTTCATCTAATGACCAAATGACCATTCCTATTTAACATACACTAACATTCATTAGTCGTTGGCTTCAGGATTGGCAATGAGTGAAATGATATTCTATTTGGAAAATACTCGATGCTGATGGGTCAATGAGCGGTTTCAAATCATGATAACCACCTCTGATTGAAACGACCACATCAACGCTGAAGATAATGATTAAAGACGTACTTCTTTCTCAGTAGTTGTCAGTAGGGTTTTAGAAGATAAACGTATTGTATGTTCAGTTAAGAGCTAGGTTATCCGAAGCTTATGGCTATTTACAGACACTATTGAACCAAACGTGCAGTGTAGTTAGACCGAGCATTATGTTTATATGCTAATTCATTTGCATGTTGCAGGACCGTTACAGTGTCTGCCCAACCTGTGGGCTCCACGTCTCACAGTCCACAGTTTGACACTCGCAGGGTCACAGTGGAGAAACACGTCATCAGGGTTAGTAGAACTTAACGTATGCCCCTGTTACTCCACCTGTAAACAAACCTGGGTGTAGTACTGTTGTCAGATGCCTGTGACTAACCAGCAGGGTTATAACAATGAGCCAACTGACTTTCAACTTGGTCGTTAATGCGGACGAGCACCCCGCTTCTATCACTGTAAATACCCACAACCCAAACATAAACCATTGGGAGTGAATGGGAGGACACCCACTGCCTCCACAGAACAAAGGACTGGTGGGGCCCAAACGGGTCATCAGCAATAGATACCTTGTTATATGAGGTGATCTGCTGATCCGGTCCATTGTTTCTTGACAACCACTAGTTTGTCTGGCTAGGACTCCGTCATATAAATGACTGTGGCCTTAAAGGACCAAAAGACTAACAACTGTAAATCTGGGGGTTTCTTGATGTCGCGGAAATAAGCAAACTTGTTCACTGCATTTTGTTAATGTTGAGAAGTCGAGAAAACTTCCATTTATCATATTTTTGCGCTATATTTAAACCCATAGGCAAGATAAAGTTTTCTGTCCACTTTCATAATGTAAATATTTACACTGTTCCAGAAAGTAGACAACACGACCCCTGAGTGTAACGTCACCTCGATGACCGGAAGTTGCAGTGTGGCTCAGATGGATCCGTGTAGTTGTCACATGCACACGTGGTCAGGGACGGCAGTGTTCGGGGATGTGGGTTTCGGGCTGTTCCAGATATCGTCCACGGTGGGGACGTCGGGCAGCTTCACGTACGAGAACTTTACCATGGGACATACCATTGACAAGGGGGTCAAGACGGCCAGAATAGGGTATGAATATCGCAAGTATATATATAAAAACGTGATGCCAATCCTAATAATTTTGTTAGAGAAATACAGTGTTATAAAAGTTCAATAATCTTGATTGAGGCTTTCGACTATATTTCATCTCGCCACTGGAATTTTTCTGAGTGAGGCGTTAGACAATAAACAAATATTAGCCCATCTTCAAACAGAAACATCTACATGTTTGTTATACAGGAGCAACTGCTGCCACCCGGTGTCGTACATCAACGTGGTGGACATGGCCAGCAACACTGCTCAGTGTAAGTTTGACCTGGCACCGGGACTCGCCAAACCCGTGTACGACTGTACGACGACTACTACTATTACCACTACAACGTCAGCAAATCACCATGTATCAAGTCCGTCATCTGGCCATGTGGGGGTCCATACGTATCCTTCATCCAAGGTGATCAAGTTTGATAATATTTGATATAATGTTACTGCTGTAAAACTCCATCGTCAGAGAATATTCTGTCTCGGTTACCAAATGAAACAAATTGAAAAACTGAAACAATATTCCAGCAATATCACGGCGGGCACACCAGAATGGGCTTCACACATTTTCCCATGTGGGGAATAGAACCCAGGTCTTCGGTGTGACGAGCGAACGCCTTAACTCCTAGGTTACCCCACAGCCCCACAAAATTGTAAGGGATTTAGTTTCGAGTGATAGTTGAATGACAATAATGAAGGCATTGGAAACACATTACAACCCGTAGTGAATTATGGCAGGACATGTAATGACCGCCAACGATCTTGAAGGGCTACAAGTGAATTACAAAGTGCACCTTTTTGGATCAATGGTGCGCCATACCGCAACGGGTTGTCATACATTCATTCACTATGCACAGTGTGTATGAGTCTTTCGAAGGCGATTTGAGGGAGTCTGCCCTACTCTCCCCGTCCAGTACGTGACGCCCACGCCTTCCTATCACGTCCTGGACGTGATGGGCTGCTAGTGGTGAGCACTGACGATTCTTTCACGGCGAGCACTAGCATTGTTCCATAATGTACCGACGATCACTGACTGTGAAATACACTGAACGTACTAACCATGTACTGCTAGTTGCCAGTATACCGACCTGTCGTAGACGCCACGCGTGATGAAGACACCGCATCGCTGGACCATTCACTAACAATGAAAGAAAAAATCAAGTAAATCACACATGTATGATACGCAGAATGAATCATGATATTGACAGATATAATGCCCTTTCGCGAAAGTGTCAAAATCAAGAATGGCACCCGACGCACGTATGTCGCACTATTGCGTGCATGCCAACTATTTGGATGTGTTTTGTCTTACAGACATAAATGTTCATAATGTAGAAAGATGCCAACCGGTATTGTGAGATAAACTCTGACAACTATGTTCCATAGGACCACACCCCGCCAGTCTGTAACGTCACCTCCACACACGGCCGGTGTAGCCAGTCCCAGACATCGTCCGACGACTGTGACCAGCACGTGTGGTTTGGAACAGTTCAATTCGGAGATGAGGGGTCAGGTCTTTATCTGGTCAAGTCCACTGCTGGTGATTCCAGCGTCCTCAACTACAAGTTCACCGAAGGAGACACCACAGACGACGGCATCAAAACAGCCACTTTAACGTATGATAAACTTTCTATATATCTGATGATATATTGTGATCATTACTCTGTCCTGGTAGTGTTACCCAGACCGTCACTTACTCAGGTCGTGTACATGGAGCACAGTTTGACCTCTATATAAAATGTCAATAAATGTGAAATGTATTTCAGCAGTATATAATTCATTCACACCTGGCTGCTAATTGCACACCCAATTTAAATGTCAACATTCGTATCCAACTGATGTTCCCAAAATCATTAAAACCCTTATTCTCGAAACTTGTTTAATTGCACTATAACATGTAAAAATGTAATACATAATTAGGTGACTTACATGTTGAGTAAATTGAATGATGTCTTCTGTGGTTAAATAACCAGTGTCTTTCTGTATACAAACTGACTGGCAAATGAAGGACACATCCATGTACGCTAACTATAACGGAAACAGGAGGTGGTTATTTCATGGTGTTGTATTTGTTGGGGTCAGAGTCGTGGCGGCTGCAGTGATGTCAGCCTACTTACGTTTTGATAACATTTTTCAAACCCCAATTTTGAAGCGCATGCTTTCCTTTACAGTTGTAATCCTGAAAAGCTGCAGGCCCTAAGGACCCAGAACCATAAAAACTTGTGGGTCCTGATCAGAATGTGAAAGCACTGTAGTTTAGCTGCAATATAAGTAATTCCCAGCAACCAAAAAATGTTCCAACGAACAAATTGAGTTAAAGAGTTTAATATAGCTCTATAATGACTGACTAGTCTTCATTTACAACACAATCTACATCCATGTCAAGATCCAAGTCTTCTGAAAAGTCTTAATCAGAATGTTCAGACAGGGAAATGTCAGTTATTGGGGATGAAAAATCTGTCGGCCATAAGTACCTGCAGAAGACAAAAGCTGCGGGTCCGAGTGCTTTTCAGTCGGCTTCGGGCCGACGTTAATTTCGAACGCTGGATGATCTGTCTAATGTTTGTATGGGTCCTGGTCTGTATATGGTGTGTCAGGAAACACTGAGTCATAGTTTAGCCCACGTATTCATCGATATCAAGCGTAGAGCAGGTAGTTTGATCGTTTGACGAGCACACACCCTGTACAACATGCATATCTCGAACTTCTCCGTATTTCTCCCCAGGGCCACGTGCTGCAACCCCTTGGCGTACATCGTCGTCATCGACGTCGCCGGTAATGAAGGCCAGTGCGACTTGGATGTGGCAGAGGAGATGGTAGGTGTAAATGTCCAAAATCTCATCTTAACCATTACAGAATGACTGAGCCCAAAAGTGTAGGAATTCAAAGAACTGCTAACATTGTAATGCCATGAATTATATAGTGAAGAATTATTGAAATACATCTATGTTTTCTAGACTTACATTTCTTTATGTTTGTAACTAGGCTGCTCCTGAAACTGGTAGTGTATTGACGCCTGGAGCTGTTGCTGGGATATCAGTCGGTTGTCTCGCCGTGTTGGCAGGGGCGGTAACTGCTGCTGTACTCCTCACCAAATACTGCTACTGTTCCACTCAACCCTCAACGAAAACCGGCAGGTTTCGGACAACAGCGTGGGATTAACGTCGTATCACGTCCAAGTCAACGGAGGTTTTTGTAGTGCAAGCTGTTCTTTGTGACATGACGTTAGACGTTAGTTGATGTTCTGTGTCTAACCACTTTGTCGTGTAAGCTGTTGTTCTTTGTGACATGACGTTAAACGTTAGTTGATGTTCTGTGTCTAACCACTTTGTCGTGTAAGCTGTTGTTCTTTGTGACATGACGTTAAACGTTAGTTGATGTTCTGTGTCTAACCACTTTGTCGTGTAAGCTGTTGTTCTTTGTGACATGACGTTAGTTGATTTTCTGACGTTCTGTATCTATGTATAACTGCAATTCCATTCCACGGAAATGTGTCTCCTTGTGGATTGCCCTTGTGGCTGCCAGTCTGTGATAAGTCAGTTGATCTGACTCTAAAATATTACTCGAGTTTCATCATAAACACTCATTACCTTTCTTCGAGTGAGTGATTTCACAGATTTAGAGACGCGACAGTCCTATTGAATCTGTAATGAAATGTAATAACTATCTAACCGCGTCTTAAACAATACCTTTAATAAACAGAAAACATGACTACATTCAAAACAAATCAGTTTCAACAAATAGAATATATCCGAGACTTTAAAAATGTACGGTTTCCATACAGATGACTCCCAGTTCTATGTTACCTGAAGATGAGATATAGCCCTAGTGGAGCGGCTTTCAAGCTCATGTTATCATTATTTGAAATTCCCGATTCGCCTATCAGTATACCATAATACCACATCAGAATGATAATTTTCCTTCCCAAGGCCTTTATCAAATTCAATAAGAATATCACAGGAAAAACAATTTGAATAATGCAATGATTCGTTTATTGTGGTAAGATTTTGAAAGCCCCTGTGTGTTTAATATGGAGAGTATTGCCGTTAATGCAAATGCAGTGTTTTAATTTAATCATGTGTTTATCCACACAACTTGTATATATCCCTCATCAAAGGAAAACATAGTAAACCAAAGCACTGTTATTTCATGTACTTCATTATTGCCCTTATCAGCATTGTCACCGACGTACACACGCGCACAAAGCTAGATCTGTGTATGCACATACTGTGTAACTATAGCCTATTGTTACTTTATAAAACGTCCAAATCGCCGATCCTTCATTGTGTTGATATCTACATTATCTCAAAAGTCTAATTGCTACACTGATGAATGCAGGAAGTCAGCAGCAAGGGAGATAACCCCCAACAAACATTACCCAATGCAGTCATAATGAAGAATGCGTAAAATCTAGGATGAAATTTTAAGAATTGTCACTGTTCGATCAAGTTATATATGATAATGATCAAATACCTTTAGTTTAATTATAACGGATTCTGATATTATGTGATAGTAAACAGGGCTTTTTGTTTCATTCTGAAAAGTATTCATGGTAAATGAAACATGACAATTTATGTTCCGGACATTAACTGACACATAATCGACGCATGTCGTACATCTGGGTCTTGGTAAGATAATGTGTTATTTACTGGCAGAGATGATGGGTCCTTACTGAATAGTTTATAGAAAACGTGTTATAGAGACGTGTACCTCAGTCAGCAATTATGTATTTGTCAGTTATGAATCTCCCATCTGAAACATATTTTGCTCTGGTTGCCATCGAAACCTGGCAATATATATATATGACGTACCTATTTCATATGACCTCAACCGCACTCTCCTTGGATAATGGACGTATATCTACCAGAAAATATAGGTTCGTATATCTACCAGAAAATATAGGTTGTTGCTTGTTCTATCTTAGCTTGGGGTTGCTCCAAGTTTTATAGGCCTTTTGACTACGACTGTGGCCTTTTGGCCACTGGACTGTGTGTTATGTTTTGACTTCTTATATTTGTACTTGTTTACAAAAGAATACGTGTATAATTGTATCCCATGTTCTGTGTAATTTATTAGTATGACAATCACGAATGTTCTTGTGGCAGTAACAGTCATCGCTTTCCCCTATATTCTTTGTGTGTTTTCAAAATGCATAATATGTTGTGATATTTTTTTTACGATAAAAATGTTTGGATTTTGAATTTGTTGATGATTTGTACTAGTGACGTATAGATTCTTCACAAAAGTGTCTTAACATAAAATATATCATCATGTGGTACTTTGGACCCGCGGCGGGGTACATTCAACTGATAAAAATTTCGATAAGAAATATAATTCAATGAAGATAATTAAACATGGATAACAAAATTTAATATTTGTTACTCACATTGATAATTTGCAAAAATCTAAAACTGCGTCGGATTCACCATCTCAGCATTGCGAGAATGTATCAACGTACCACAAGTGCATCTTGACATTGCGAGGATACATCATCGTATCACAAATACATCTTGACATTGCGAGGATCGGCACAATACATCATCGAGAGGAGCACAAATACATCTTGACATTGCGAGGATGCATCATCGTAGTCACAAATACATCTTGACATTGCGAGGATGCATCATCGTAGCACAAATAAATCTTGACATTGCGAGGATGCATCATCGTAGCACAAATACATCTTGACATTGCGAGGATGCATCATCGTAGCACAAATACATCTTGATATGCATCATCGTAGCACAAATGGATCGAGGATGCATCATCGTAACACAAATACATCTTGACACTGCGAGGATGTATCAACGTAGCACAAATACAGCAGCTAAGCTTGACACTGCGAGAATATATCAACGTATCACAAATACATCTTGACATTGCAAAGATGCATCATTGTAGTACAAATACATCTTGACACTGCTAGGATGTATCATCGTATCACAAATACATCTTGACATTGCGAGGATGCATTTTCGTATCACAAATAACATCTTGACACTGAAGATGTATCAACGTGACACAAATACATCTTGACATTGCGAGGATGCACCATCGTAGCACAAATAAATCTTGACACTGCGAGGATGCATTTTCGTAGCACAAATACATCTTGACACTGAAGATGTATCAACGTGGCACAAATACATCTTGACATTGCGAGGATGTATCATCGTAGCACAAATACATCTTGATACTGTGAGGATGGATCAACGTGACACAAATACATCTTGACACTGCGAGGATGTATCAACGTAGCACAAATACAACAGCTAAGCTTGACACTGCGAGAATATATCAACGTAGCACAAATACATCTTGACATTGCGAAGATGCATCATTGTAGTACAAATAAATCTTGACATTGCGAGGATGCATCACCGTAGCACAAATAGATCTTGACACTGCTAGGATGTATCATCGTATCACAAATACATCTTGACACTGAAGATGTATCAACGCGACACAAATACATCTTGACATCTTGACACTGCGAGGATGCACCATCGTAGCACAAATAAATCTTGACACTGCGAGGATGTATCATCGTAGCACAAATATAATCTTGACACTGCGAGGATGCGTCATCGTAGCACAAATACATCTTGACACTGCGAGGATGTATCAAAGTATCACAAGTACCTCTTCACACTGAGAGGATGTATCAACGTTGCAGAAATAAACTTTGGCACTGTGAGAATAAAACAACGTGGCACAATTACATCTTGTCACTGCGAGGATGTATCAATGTTGCACAATTACATCTTGACAGTGCGAGGTTGTATCAACGTAGCACAAATACAGCAGCTAAGGTTGACACTGCAAGAATGTATCATTGTAACACAAATACATCTTGACACTGCGAGGATGCATCATTGTAGCACAAATACATCTTGACATTGCGAGGATGTATCAACGTAGCTCAAATACAACAGCTAAGCTTGACACTGCGACAATATATCAACATATCACAAATACATCTTTACATTGCGAGGATATATCAACGTTGCAAAAATACATCTTGTCACTGCGAGGATGTATCAACGTGACACAAATACACTTTGACACTTCCTTACCTTTCTGCGAAGTTACCTCTAGCTGTGCTATGATTCTATCGTCTTGGGTTCGAATTTACGGTTTTGTGCCATCATCTGTCTCCCTGATTACACAAAAGACGAAAAGGTCTTAGGCACGTTTACCTCAATACCTGCACACGGAAATACGCGGCTTTGAACTAACAATACTCGTTAACTCCTGCTGTCTATATTTATGTTTTTGGAAGAAAGCTTGTTTCATATCAGTCAATATGTGACATGACGGTTTTTAAAATCAAAGGAACGTGTACAGTATAGAGATAAAACAAAGCATGTTGGCCCTAACAGATCTATATCGAAAGCAAACACACAACCAAACTTTCACTCACACATATACACATATTTCAACAGCATGACTCAACTCTACTAGTTAGTTAGTTGGTTGGTAGGTTGTGTGGTTGTTGTTTAACAGCGCACTCCGGCTATATGGCGGCGGTCTGAAAATAATCGAGTGGACGTCTGTACCAGACAATCCAGTGATCAACAGCATGATCATCGATCTACGCAACTGGGAGACCATGACACGTGTCAACCAAGTCACGAATGGTATTGTTTTTCTAAACAAAGTAGAACCTCATGAACCCATGAAATAGTTGGACAAAACTGACCCTTTTCTGTTACCACCATCGCCCCAAATCCCATTTCTAGCCTTTTCTTTTTGTCACGGATATGTCAAGTCTGGAACTGTGCTCCTTAAAACTTTTTAAGGCTTTATTAAGTCAGTCGAATGACATTCCTGTAATATTTTTGGCGAAAGAGCATACACGATTGTACCCCAAAACGTGTGAAATATGAACACCAGGGCTGGAGCTGCTGGAATATTGAAGGGGGAGTTGACAATTGGAAATTTGAATTATCCCTCTAGTCATACACTGTTGTTGGAGCTTCTGGTTATTCTGAATCTCTTGTATAGATCTTACATAAGAAAAAAGAAAAAGAAATCAGTGGAATCGACGTGGTGATTTGGTTGTAAATGAATTATATCAGATCTTCGTTTTACTAAACTTTCTTCCCTGAATGTCCGATGTTTGTTCAGGAACAGAGGCCTCAATTAGTCCCATGGGAACGTTTACTTCTCCCCAAATGTTGTTATTTTGGGTACTGGTGGGGCAAAATTACAAATACATTATAATGCATTTAATTTTGTCCTTTGCTGAAATTGATAAAATTCAAACCAACATAAAATTAATTCCACTCGTAAAATACATTATGTAGGTACAAGGAAAACCCTCCCTTGTTCATTCTAAGGATTATGGTTAATCTTTGAGGGAGGGTTTTGGTGTTATTGCTGGACCCATCTGTATATCTCTATCTGGAGGGAGATTTGTAATCAAGTGCAGGAATGGAATGGACGTAAGTGAAGCAAAAACATGCATCGATGCATAAATGTGACAGTCAATACACTGTCCCTCTGGTTGGTATAGTCGTTGTCTCAGTTATATACCAGCTTAACTAATGGAACAGTTATTGAAGTGATACCTCACACGGTAATGGCATTTGAGACCTTTTCTTCTTGGTGTATTTCAATTCCCATTTTAGATAATTGGCGGAATTTGTTATTGTCAACAACAGAGAAATTAACTGTGACTATATGAGAAGCAGTAGTTTGTGTTTTGTCAGCAAAAATGGTGGAACTAAATTATTTATTGCTGAACGTTTTATGACACATATTCAACAAAGATACTACACATCACAGCTTCTGTTTATGGCAAACAGGACATTTTCACTATTTGCATGTTAAAATACAACCATGCATGATGTCATATCTCTAAAATGAATTCTCAAAGTCCAAATGTTCTAATATGTTTTTTTTCAAAGAACCATCTGTTTATAGAAAGACATTGTATGACGGCCTCTAAATTCCCAATAATCAATCTTTATCTACTCAGCTTTGACCTCTTTTTATAGTTGTTAGTTTAAAAACAAACCATGTTCAAGTTTAAAAAAACTTCAAAGGACGTTTGCTTGAACATGCTTACCTTGTCGTATTTTTTCAGTTTATTATTGCGGGAGAACTTAAGTAGGAGTCTCTCTTCGTTTCGAGTATGTGCCTACATCACATGCAGCTGTTCACTGGAAGGAAACAGAGCACTCTAAGTAGGTGTCTCGGTAATCCCCCACACGCTTACACTCAGTTTCTACGAACCATGATCACTCTCTAAGACTGGCGCCTTCTTGCACAACACATTTTCATGGATCAAACCAATTTTAAATCCGATTTATTGCATATTCTGTTCAAAGTGTCACATTAATTTTTAAATGTGACTTCAATGGGAGTCATTAGTTTGCCCCAATCACTTGTCTCTTCAGTTTATCCGTGCGGGTTACGACGCAGGGATTAGTTTCTGCTGCATAAATGTACCTCAAGTTGACGCCACACGACCCCCGTGACATCTGAAAGTGTTATAAGCTGTCTTCTCACATTAGGTTGTGGTATTTGAATCAATACTTCATGTTCGGTCCACAAGTGGATTATAGAGTCATTACACGGGCTTGGGTGGGGCGTCTGTTGGTCGCAATAGACTGTTTTGACACTAAAGTATTTACACTGAATACATGGACTCACGGCAAAGCTTTCATTCAGATAATAAAGTCTTTACAGAAATTTGTTTCTTGTTAATCGATCTTTCAAATGCTGTCTTGTTTTAGGGGATTGTTTTGTGTTATTGTTTAGTACACACGTTCATCATATGTTCTGTACTGATGCTTTAGATCAATATTTTAATCCTCCGGCATATAACAGCAGATTCATGTACACGGAAAAATTGCTACTCGAGGGGAGGGTGTCTGTGATGCGATTTCTGTCAAAAAATATTTATTTTCTAGGATAACATTAAAAATACTTTTTCATAACTTTTGCAAAAAAAAAATTCTTTATTCCTTCAGCTCCCCCTTTCACATAACGCATTGCGTTTTTCGGAGAAGTGATAAACTATTACCCATTAAGGTGTTACATTGTCCTCCGATAGGTTTCATTGTCCTATTATGTTGCACATTGTCCCCGATAGGTTTCATTGTCCTACTATGTTGCACATTGTCCTCCGATAGGTTTCATTGTCCTATTATGTTGCACATTGTCCCCCGGGAGGGTTTCATTGCCCTGTTGTGTTGCACATTGTCCTCAGATAAATTCCATTGCCCTATTATACTGCACATTGTTGCCCGATGGTTTCCATTGCCCGTCTGTGTTGTACATTGTCCCCTGATAGTTTCCATTGCCCTACTGTGTTGAACACTCTCCCGATAGATTCCATTGCCCTACTGTGTTGAACACTCTCCCGATAGGTTCCAATGCCCAGTGTCATAGTTTGACGACATATTCCATTTATTGTCCCAGTGTGTTGTTGCACATAGTTTCCCAACAGATTCCATCGTCCCAGTGTCTGGTTACACATAGTTCCCCAACAGATCCCATTGTCCCAGTGTTTGGTTGCACATAGATCCCCAACAGATTCCATCGTCCCAGTGTCTGGTTACACATAGTTCCCCAACAGATTCCATTGTCCCAGTGTCTGGTTGCACATAGTTCCCCAACAGATTCCATTGTCCCAGTGTGTTGTTGCACATTGTTCCCAAAACAGATTCCATTGTCCCAGTGTCTGGTTGCACATTGATCCCCAACAGATTCCATTGTCCCAGTGTCTGGTTACACATAGTTCCCCAACAGATTCCATTGTCCCAGTGTGTTGTTGCACATAGTTCCCAAAACAGATTCCATTGTCCCAGTGTCTGGTTGCACATAGTTCCCAACAGATTCCATGTCCCAGTGTGTTGTTGCACATAGATCCCCAACAGATTCCATTGTCCCAGTGTTTGGTTGCACATAGTACCCCAACAGATTTTATTGTCCCAGTGTGTTGTTGCACATAGTTTCTCAACATATTCCATTGTCCCAGTGTCTGGTTACATATAGTTCCCAAAACAGATTCCATTGTCCCAGTGTCTGGTTGCACATAGTTCCCCAACAGATTTTATTGTCCCAGTGTCTGGTTGCACATAGTTCCCAACAGATTCCATTGTCCTCGTGTCTGGTTGCACATAGTTCCCCAACAGATTCCATTGTCCCAGTGTCTGGTTGCACATAGTTCCCCAACAGATTCCATTGTCCCAGTGTCTGGTTACACATAGTTCCCAAAAACGATTCCATTGTCCCAGTGTCTGGTTACACATAGTTTCCAAACAGATTCCATTTATTGTCCCAGTGTTTGCTTGCACATAGATCCCCAACAGATTTTATTGTCCCAGTGTCTGGTTGCACATAGATTCCAACAGATTCCATTGTCCCAGTATATGGTTGCACATAGTTTCCAACAGATACCAATGTCCTAGTGTGTTGTTGCACATAGTTTGCCAACAGATTCCATTGTCCCATTGTTTGGTTGCACATAGTTCCCCAACAGATTTTATTGTCCCAGTGTGTTGTTGCACATAGATCCCAAACAGATTCCATTGTCCCAGTGTTTGGTTGCACATAGTTTCCCAAAAGATTCCATTGTATTAGTGTCTGGTTACACATAGTTTCCCAACATATTCCATTGTCCTATCGTGTTGATGCACAATGTTCCCCGACAGATTCCATTGTCCCATAGTGTTGTTTGACATTGACCCCCGACAGTTGCCATTGCTCCAGTGGGCTGCAAATAAATCCCTGAGGTCGTCCAGTGCGCTAGTAAGTAGCGCAAGGGCCCCTTTGATAAGCAAAAACAAGAGTGATGCGTATCAAACAGGCACTTCTGCGTCTTACAAACAGTGGCACGAGATCTCCTTGACTAACTCCCTACTTGACCAATAATCAGATAGCGCATTCCAAATATTTCCAGATCCAATGTGACTGGCATGTTTTAGCAACCGATACATACTGCTGATGTAAATGTATTTGTAGGCACGAATTCTTTACATAAATACTCATATATTTGTGTCGAGCCACAGCTGCAGTAAACATTGTAACTTGTGCTATTGTATTAGTTGGGTGTCAGTCAACAGGGCTCGACTGCGGAATCCATAGCATCAAAGGACACTCGTAAGGTCTCGACAATCTAAAGGCAGAAAAGGATTATCCTCAATTTCATGTACGTGTATTCTGAATGCATGTACTTAGTTCGTCGCAGAAGGCTCTTATAGGCGATAACCACTGGTGGAAACCAGGAACTGTAGAACACACTGCTATCCCGGGTCATTAGTAGATTGTACTAGATTTCGTGAACGATAATGCCGTCAAAGATTTTAACCATTTTGTGCTTTGTGTTCTTGTGTGTCGTCTGCGTGTTGGGCTTCCTACCCAACAGGTTCAGTCTTCTGTCGTCTGACTTCACACACCAGGACATCACAGAGGCCGCCATCTTGAGAGCTGTGGCGGAGATGTTCGAGGAGGCGCCTTTGTGGAGGAAGTCTTCAGGGCCTGGAACACTCATTACCATGAAAGAGATAACAACCAAGGCTTTGTTCGATGCGTACAAGGGTGGTATGTTCATGTAACATCAAGTATTATATGACTTAAAATAACAAACGACGGATTCAGGGCAAGTACTTAACTCTAAACTGTTCCTATGTTATTTTTCGAAGCATGCATCAGACGTATAATAATAAGGAAACAAAATGTGGACATGGGTATTTAATATGATATTAAATATTCATAGAATTATTATAAACATTGGACATTTTCAAAAACTTTAATTGTAGAATTTAAACGTTTCCAACTTTTAAAGTATTTATCATTGCCAAAATACTGTAGGTTGTTACATAAACCTATTTCCACTGATACTTGCTACTAATAGCACGTCATTTTGTGCAAAGCTGTCAGTCACCAATGATAAAATATATTTCATTGTAATGTTCAAGTTCTTTTTATTATTTTGGGCTTTGAGGTACTATGTTGGTTAACGCGTTCGCTTGTACTCCGAAGACGATTCTTCACATGGGTACAGTTTGAAGCGCCGTGATATTGATGGGAAATTCCAAAAAGCAATGCTCAACCGCTCCACGTTCATATTTATGGCGAAACGTGAAATATTGTGCAACGTTAAGAACACAAAGAACGGGTATGTAAATTATTACCTGGATATCGATTAATAATGCGAGTGATTTTGGATGTCAATGTTTGTTAAAGCATGTAGTGAGATCACAATGAAATCAGTAACACACAAGGAACATGTTTGACCAGGTGTTCTAATGCGCGTCCGTGTGGTATCAGAGCTGCCTTTCTTCGTCGTGCAAACACGCACTGACTGAGGGCTTCAATCCCGACTGTCTGTGATACTTTGGTTTTGTCAAAGCATTAAAGGTTATGAGTCAAGTTCTGTTCCATCTTACGTTTATTATTTTTATACCCAATATGATTATACAGAAACAGTGAGCGAGTTAGTATGGTATTATGCCACTTTTAGCAATATTACAGCAATATCAAGGCGGGGGACACCCGAAATGGGCTTCCCACATTGTACCCATGTTGGGAATCGAACCCAGGTCTTCAGCGTGACGTGCTGACGCTTTAACCACTAGGCTACCCCACCGGCCAAATACAGAAACAGAAACACATTTAAACGGTGACATAACCGTCCCCCATTCGCTCCACTAGACCAATAAGTTAAACTTTTTTGGATTTGGTTTGCTAATTTATCGTAATTTGCGGACTATTTAGCCGAACGAGATTTAGTATAGCAAAAATATGTGGAAGAAATTAATCAGTGTACAGTACAAGAATTCGGCAACAAGTATGTGTATATATTCATTAATCCTTATTAAGTGTATTTTACGACATGGAAACCCGACGGAAATATTCAGCATATAACGCCATTCTTAAAAGAATGAAAGTTTTAGACATATTCTCATGACTTTGGTAACTATAGAATCCTAACGGTTGCACATACCTTAGTGAACCACCGCATGTAATATCTAGTGGCAAAAAATCTGAAGCTGTGCTTGTATATTTATCTTTATGCACTCTCACAAAGAGAAACATCTATGTTTAAATTAGGGAATAGTTATGAAATGGTTTCTGAGAAAGGACATGTCCAAAAGCCTCATTTATTGGATCATGAATTCGAGTTTATCGAATATATATATCAATTTCAAAAATATGATATCGATGCCTTTCACGACAGGAACTGTGTCTGAGAAACGGTTCCAGGAGGCCATCGATGACATCGTGAAGGCCAACAACAGAGTGGACCAGGACCACTACTCTGAGGCTGCCTGGCACGTCAACGGGGAGGCCATCAAAGAAGGTGATTTCGACGTTTTTAGCAACACATATCCCAAACAAAATGTTTTGTAGTTCTTTCTTCAACCGTATACATTTAAGACGTGTTCATAACACATGATCGACCGGTATGTCAACACCGAGGATATTAAAGGTGATATCGGACTATGTATAACAGTATTTCTTGGAAACAAGATGAGAAACAAAGCTGAGAACCACCCATAGTTTAGTGGTCGCTGTTACTAATCTTTCTTTAGCAAATGACAAAATCACATCACTACGGGCAACGGCAATCTTCATCCTGAATCAAACCATGCCGGACTACAGGGCTGCTCGAGGTCTGATTGGTCAGTTTCTTCACATTGTCCAGATGTTCTACAGCAACACCAACTGGCCGGAACTCAGTGGAAGCGCGGTCTATGACTCTCTAGGTACACCTAAATAACGTACAAATGTCTTACAGCATACATTTCTTAACAGGTGTAATCGTAGCAGTATAATCAGTCCAATTAAGAATAAGACAATAAACTGTGTATGAAACAGTGATTGTTAAATCAATCCAATATTCTCGATCTACGTGCATTATAATCAGTTGATCAGCTGATATCGACGCATTTCACATTTTTACAGTAAAATTAATTATATGATCATTTTATCACTTAAAAATCACATAAAAGATCTATCACGGTTGATTACCTCCATATGGCAATACGTTCTGCTATATTAACAAATATTTGGATTGACGCAAAAATGACAGAACACGCGCCGTCAACGTCCACTATACAACGTTGCTGACTACAGGATCAAAATTTACCCACAACAAAAATCACGAACAACAACCTACCACAAATATAACCCCATACAAACAAACAAAAACCAAACCCTAACATTTACCAATGATGGGTCAAGTAGCTATGTTACAAGCTTTCGGAAGATTTTACTTATCGCATGAACTGACAACTGTGCTTAGCTACAACACAGCTGACAGTCATCCCTGTAGGCACACACCTACCGCACACATAGATGAGTACATATTGACACACCCATGCTTATGAGATAAACACGCAATGACTTGTACAATAGACTCTCCATACAATTGAGAGAGTTCTTTGTGATTTTTAAATAGTTTTGTTGCATGTATTTACTCATTTTGTCAGGTATTCCCGGCAAACAGTTGATGGCAGTAGCACCCTCCTCCATAGACACATGCAAGTCGTGTAGGTAAGTACGAGTGTAGAACAAACACAATCTTGGTTCGTTCAAGTATTTGGTTTTCAACAAAAACGAAAAGGCTCTACTTTGACTGATATTTTGTGGGTTTTGTGCCAGGGTATCTCCCGGAATCAATTGCAGTGACAACATGATAGATCTGGGGTCACTCTTGACCAGCGGCTACAGAAGTGGACAAGACCGGATCAAACCATTCAGTGAGTGTATCCCCCTAGACACCAGACCACATACACAGGGTGTCTGCTCGCTGTCCATTGGCTGCAGGCAGTATCCTGGTTGTGTACACACCTTTCGTGAGTGAGTGAGTTTAGTTTTACACCACTTTTAGCAATATTCTAGCAATAACACGGCAGGGGACACCAGAAATGGGCTTCACACATTGTACCCATGTGGGGAAAAGAACCCGTGTTTTCGGCGTGTCGAGCGAACGTTTCAACCACTAGGCTATCCCACCGCCCCACACGCATTTCGTGAGGAAACTCAGGCTAATTGTACTACAGAGAGGCAAACAGATACTACAAAGCCACCTTAGTGTTTATGAAGTTATGGTTTAACAGTTAGCAGTTAAAGCGATCTCTGTTCATAGACTCGGGAGATATCCTTCTACAAGGCCGGGTCATATGAAGCTCATTATCCTTCGTCCTTACATTGCTAGATTTTGTTTTTCTCATCAAACATCTACAGAGACTAACAAAACCTGAGCCCGGAAACTTCAGTTCCTTGCGAATGACAACACAGTCATTCCTAACTTCTTTGAGTGGCATTTTAGAAGTTGGGCCGTACAATACTGAACACACTTTATGGATTACAACTTCTTTTTGTTCGTGAGTGCGACGTTTCGGGTATTCCTGCTTGACAACGGGACAAGAATATGTATTTTTCTCCATAAAGTTTGTTCAATATTGCAGTCAGTCCTAGCTTATTGGCATTAGTTTTAAACTGATATCACCATTATACGCAAAACTTTCATCGGCCAGTGCCATTAAGTAAATACCCTTTACTGGTTAAAGTGCCCTCCACACAGACATGTCGTGTGAATTAAAAACATGACATTTAAAAAAATGGCATTTCAGAAGATCCACGGACGCACCAAACTGGCAAATGTAGTCACGGCGGCCCCCATGACACGTACAGCACGACGTCTGCTGCAACTGGCGGCATCAACAAGGACAGCAGCGACCCCAACACGTCTCCCCACTACTACCTCCACCACCAGGCTGCAGAGGGCGCTATACGACATACAAAGTTCTTTTTGGATGATCCGGGTAATCGAAATAAAATTGTTCGTTTTTTTGTTACACATGTGAAATGTTATAAAACAATGAAAACATTGCACTTTGATATTAATTAAACCTCTAAAACAAACTTACATATATGTTGGATGCATAAGGAGAACGTGTTCTATTTCCTTTACAGTGTATGGATTACGCCATCTGGTGGGAGATGATAAGTTCCAAAAACTCCTTCTAATCAAGGCGGATAACTCCATAGTTTTTGTGATAGACTCTTCCGGATTTTCGAAGAAAGATATGACTACTCTCAAAGCAGCTGCAGCTGTAATTATGGAGGAAGCATCGTCACAAATCACCAACGATCAGACAGAATACATCATTATGGCAGATGGAGAGCCAGGTCAGACTATGCCACATCTTCCTTGTGTAGAGTAGAGTAGAGTAGAGTAGAGTAGAGTAGAGTAGAGTAGAGTAGAGTAGAGTAGAGTAGAGTAGAGTAGAGTAGAGTAGAGTAGAGTAGAGTAGAGTAGAGTAGAGTAGAGTAGAGTAGAGTAGAGTAGAGTAGAGTAGAGTAGAGTAGAGTAGAGTAGAGTAGAGTAGAGTAGAGTAGAGTAGAGTAGAGTAAGAAAAGACTTGTAAGCAAAGGCACAACTAAACGTATTCGAAAATTTAATGTATAGCGTGTCATCGCTCGATGCATCCTAGGTATCCACCACTGGGCTGTCTTGTCCAGAGGCGTTATTAGCATAATAATAACACATTCATAAAAGTTCAGATTTACCAATTTCTTTTGAAATAGCAATAGAACTATACAATTTTAAGGCACAATGTTAATCTGAACAAACTGAGTGCATATTCACGTGATGACTGTGTCAGGGTTTTGTTACCTCTTCCACTGATGTTTTGTTTCAAGGAAGTGTACAGAGCGTGTACAGATCCAGAAACTCTGTGGAAGCTCGGCACTACATGGATGCTCTCCCCGTGAATGAAGGCACAGCATGTCAGCAGTTCAGCCTTCACAATGTAGAAGCAGGCAAGTACATGACTGGGACACGTCATCATTAACTACTGAAGGTCTCCTTCCATCTGATCTATGTAGCGCCGACAGAGCAAAAGTGAAACGTCTTGTTCGTCTTTGTTTTCCGGCATTGATCACAACACATTACTCCATTGCTACCAACGCCGAAGTGGAGTTTATAACACGACTCAATCCTGCAGACAGGTATATGTCGGTCATTGTAAATGGCAACGCTGTTTAAGAATGTACGTTGCTATGAGCCAGGTATTCCAACTTGGGTCTTCCTGTGTGGAGACATACAGTGTTCGTGAAAAGGTGAAGCATTTCCTGCTCTTAAAGGAAGAAACACAGCCTGCCATGTTGGGGCGTATTGTGTCCATTTGTCTTGAGCTGTAAGGATAGATCATGGCTCATCAGATATGAACATTTAAACTAAGCCTAATAGTATTTGCAAAATATGATAATCATACCAACGGAACTTGGCAGCATACGGCATATCCTTGGCAGCATACGGCATATCCTTGGCAGCATACAGCATATCCTGATTGGATAGGATTAGGAATTACTTACAATTTTCCCATGAACTATCAAAATCAGCAGATGAAGAAATCAGTTAAAGACGTATCTGTAACTGTGAGTCACACTTTTAAATAGTCCTGTAAACAATCACTGATTCAATGGAATTTGAGGCAGTCTTAGTACTTTTATCATTATTCTTACTGTACAAGATCGTCACAATGGTCATCATGTCTCGCCTAAAACCACAGAGAACATTGCACATTATCACAAACCATATCTCTCAACCAGGACAGGGAATACATGTTCACTGTATTATCATCAGTGTAGGAGTAATGTAATGTTGTTGTCCCTGCTTTCAGCTGCCAACTTGGCCTACCCGGGTTCTAAGATCTACGTGTTGACAAACGCTCCACCAGCAGACACGGACAGAGCAAATGACATCATCAGGATAGTGACAGAGAAGAGGATTTCGCTGGAGTTCTACCTCACTGGATACTGTGAGCGTAGGACAGGAAGGGAGATGCGTCACGGAGGTACATAGTAGAACTGTCCACTCTCAGGTTTATTGAAGAAGTAGCTGATACGTTCAAACAAGGTTCAATGGACATACTCATGCGTATGTTTGGATTTGAAGCATAATCTGAGACTTCTTTCCTTACATTGAAGTATTTTGAAATATCCGACTAAAGCGTAAGCTGGTCAAATGATATCAAAGAAATGCTAAGACTTTGTCCAGTATGTGACCGATTTAAAAAAAGTAGTCACCTCTTTGAATGAACATTCTGGGAAAATCATGTGGCAAACACCCGTATTGCTATGACCATTAATCATGTTCAGACCATGACCCTCTTGTCCATTCGAACCATGCAACAGTGAAATTTAGCCTTAGTGTTCCCCTCAACAGATACTTGGTATTGGCGATATTGTTGGTGTAAATCTGAAATGGCATAGGCAGGACCGTCACAAAGAAGGGTGACAGAAGAGTTGAAACATCGTACCATTACGTGTTAGTACCTGTTCTGAGGATTCACCGATGGCCCGTAGCAAGTTTTCCGTAGGGTGAAAATGGTTTCATGTCACTTCTATGCTTGAGCCTCAATTATGGTTTTCATTCAAATATGATTTTCTGGTGGTTACAGAAACCAGACGTCGGCGTTCAGCTGGTATGGACCTGTATTCAGGTCTAGCCACAGCCTCCGGGGGGTCAACATATGTAACAGACAAAGGTGGAGTCGCAAAAATGGCAGATATCATTAAGGTGAGGTTGCTGCAGTTGCTGTCGCTGCTGGGGTTGCCGAGGGCTGCTGAGGGTAACAGCTACTAAAACTGTCGCGCTTAAGCGTATCTAGGCATGTTGGATTGCCGTTAAGCCTGAAACAAGAAGGTGATAGACATTTGATGATGTTGTATTTAACACAGGGTTTCTATGCTGTGTTTTGGACTGTAAGTTTGCCTTGTTTTGGTGGCTGTTTTCAGCCGAGCAACGTTTTCCTGAGTTAAACGGTTTTACTGTGTATATGTTCCTTTATATGCAACAAATAGCAATAGACCCGGAAGTTTGGTTAGTAGTATAAACACGAAAGAGATGAGTCTGATGGTGACAAATTGGATGTTTCCATTTCTAACAAGGCTATCACACCAAGGTGTAGTTTGGAAGCGAACCCGTTACTATTTTAGTGGGTAGTGCCAAGGATGAGGTTTTTCAGTAAATAAATATCAGTTGCTGAGAGCTACCACCTAAAACAGCGATTATACACGGCCCAACACACGACCCAAAATATGTTTCTCCTAAAGCGTTGAAACACCCTCCCAGCTTCACGTGTTTCCAGTTGACACGAATGAACTTGTGATATCGATATGATAGCTTACATCCAGATTATATTATGACTTTGTAGGAATCTGCAACAACATCCGGCACGACAATTCTGAAGATGGCTGTGGATGCAGCTGTGAAAAAGACGATTGATGTCCCGATTGATAACACTATCCGAGAGTTGACTATCAAGATCATATCAAATGCTGGCACCACGGGTGAACCCGTCAACACCCTGTCTGACCCACACAGTGAGTTATAGGCCATAAATCTTATCCTGAGTGAATGGTGGGTATGGTTTTACGCCACTTTTATCAATATTCCAGCAATATCACGTCCATGTTGGGAATCTAATCCGGGTTGTCAGCGTAACGAGCAAACGCTTTAACCACTAGGCTATCCAACCGCCCCATCTGATCCTGATGTCTGCATGGCTCCGGATCAACAATAGTTACTTACACATGCATCAATTTTCTGATGTTTCATCATAAACATACTTTTACAGATTAGGATAAAATGCAGCAGAGAGTGGTCGGATGGTCCTGGCACAGTCAGGCTGTTAAGGCTCATCATCAGCTCAGGTACTGTTGACCCGACTACACGCAGCCCACACAGCAAATGGGACTTCTCCCAGGAAGCGCTGCCTAGTCGAACCCACCAAGATTTCCGTAGAATATGATGACTGCCCAACACTGCAGCCTTCTGCATTACCCAGACTGTCAGAAGAGCTGTGCTACCGATGGAGAACCCGGGTACTCTCCTTATCTGCATACTCTATTATTTTGCTGTGTATTTTTGTGATAAGAATTGATAAATCCTTTCAGAAACATCTGTCGCCATGACAACCTCAGGCAACGTCACCCTGAAGGATCTTGGCGGAGGAGTGAGACTGATCAAAATAAAGGTCTTTATTGCATACTTTATACGATGCATCTTACACCATTCTATAATATATGGACCATGTTTTTATAATGATGAAATAACTTTAAAAAATGGTCTTGTGGAAAGTGACAAAGATTCCGCCAGAAAATGCTACACTTTTCACGAGGACCTGGAGTCATCAGTGATCCATAATGACCATTTTTATAATTTTCACGGCCATTTACTATAAACTGTAAAGGAGAAGCCTACTTTCGAACCATATATGCTTTTCCCAAAATATATTTCAAACCCAATAATGTCAATGCGGTATAGAACCTCTAACCATTATTTACCAGTAGAAAATACCTAGACAGTTAAGAAAATGTCATTTATGTTATTTCCCTGCGATAGCTGACGAGTTATTTCCAAAATATCAGATGTAATTATATTAAAGACTTATTGTAAATGGCCAAATCTTATGGAATTTAAAAACCTTTTGTCCACCTGTAAGTACTCTATCATAAAATCTCTATCATAATACTGTAAAATGTTGTTCCTGTCCCACCGATGGCGGTTTGTGGGAATAAAGAAACTGAATTGAATTCAATTGAATTGACAACGTTGAATCTGTTTCAGCGGATAAGAGAAACTCGTTAATCTCTGATGTTGATGTTCTACATTGTATATTGCAGTCCCCCCTGCCCGGATTATGGCATCTGACGAAGAAGGACAGTTACCATTGGGACCTGGAGGTGACCGCCCAGAGCACCATCGACTTCAGCACCAAGTTTGTACAGACAAACCCCTTGAACGGATTCCAGTATGAGATTACAGGAAGACCTATTGCAGGTACGTGACTCGTTATCATTAGACCCATTGCAAGTGAATCCTATATGCTATCCTTTGGAAGTTATGTGGTAATCCTCATGGAGTTGTAATGCATGTGGTTGTATTTGTTTACCTAACTTTGGTTACAAAGACTTAGGACGTTTGGAGTTCGTCATATCAGAAGTTGACTGGCATGGGAATACCATCTTGTCAACATCGTTTCAGGTGACAAGGCTACTGTTATTATAACCGTACCGTCGATAGACAAGATAGGGGGAATAGCCAAGGTTATTCTCACAGACAGTAAAGGTGCAGAACTAGAGTCATCTTCCTTGACTCAGGGTAGAGGTCGGGCTTCATCTATATTCAAAGGAACATTCACCCTTCCAACAAAGGTAATTCATATGTACATATAGTCAAAAACTGTTTCCTAATTGTTGCGCTCAATAAAATTATTCATATCAAAGAAAAATTCATAAAATGCATGTAACTCTATAATGTCTACTGGAGTTGCCTGGAAATCATTTTCCGTTGATATTTACCATCACAATACAATTACCACATGATTCAATTCAATTTTCGATTATAGAATCCGTTCGCCATTCAATAAAACGTAATATAAGACATATTTATGTTAAGAACCATTCTTTAGCATCACTTCACTGATCTCTACTGCCTTTTTATCCTTAAGACTTAGGGTTGTGGAAGGTCATCCCCCAATCCTTTGTCCTTAGATAATGTTGACGGACGTGTCCAATAGAGGCTCCTAAGTTGAAAGTGAAGATATAGTTCCAGTTTATGCAACACTGATTTCAGGCGTTCCAAGTGACTATTCGAGGTACTGACGAGCCGGGCAATATGCTACAGCGTCTGGAACCAACCAAGATAACGCCAATAGCTGTTAAGCTGAAGATAGGAACACTTACAGGTGAGGCTTTCCGTTAATGTATATGATTGGTGCTTTTCGTTCTGTAAACACGAGACAATCAACCAGACAAGCCAGTGAGTGATATCATCGGGGATACGATGACATGTGTCAACTAAGCCAGCGAGCCTGAACATCCAAACCTTTAAGTCGATTCTTTCGACAAGCATGGGTTGTTGAAGATGAGTTCTATCCGGATCTTCAAGGGTCGCCTCAAATCATAGTCCTGAGTACCCTATGTACATTTTTATCATAGGTAGGATAAAATTGCAAAACCTCAATCACTGATTCATTCATATAGGGTCTCTGTACATCAACGAAGATCTGAAGATCCCCTACACGGTGACCAATACCGGGGACAGCAAGACCACCATAGCTGTTGACATCACAGACGATCAGGGCTTTGCTGTCAGCCCATTAAAGAAGTCGTTTACACTGGAAGGAAACAGCAGCGCCACTGGTAGTTTCACGTTGCATGCTGGGAGCACAGTTGGAGTAACCACGTGAGCATATGAGTTCGAATTAAGAAGTAAATTTTTTGTAGAGGTTACATGCATACATACATACATACATACATGCATGCATGCATGCATGCACACATACACACGCACACACACATACATTACATACATACATACATACATACATACATACATACACGCACATACGCACGCACACACACATTACATACATACATACATACATAGATTACATACACACACATACATACATACATACATACACACATACACACACATACATACATACATTACATACATACACACATACATACATGCATGCATGCATACATTACACACATACATACACATACATGCATACATACATTACATACATACATGCATACATTACATACATACATACATACATACATACATACATGCATACGTGTGTGTATGTGTGTGTGTGATATTTCACAGTGCTCTAGATTCATAAATAGAAATGTTCAGAAGCATTTATGCCGTCATCGCTTGTCTTATTAGCGTCCCAGTTTTGCCCTTTGAAATGAAATATCATGTTGAATACTGGTGTCCAATAAGGGTGTGTATCTGTCCCATCAACGGCCGACATTCAGACATGCTGGGCCCTTCCTAGCGCTGTCAGCCTTATTGTGGTCTCCGAAGACTGTTAACTGTATCCCAGACGTAATCATAGTGAACTTCCATCTTTCCTCTTCCCTCCTCAGATAAGCTGTTACACGTCGCTGTCACACCATGCATTTTAAAAAGATCAGGAACATATTTGCTCCATGTAATCAATGGTTTCAGCACAGTGACAGTATCGGCACAGCCATCGGGGGTATCAGGCCACAGTCCTCAGTTTGATACCCGCAGGATCACTGTGGAGGAACACATCGTCAGGGTGAGTTGATATCCATGTCACTGCACTATCCGGTTACCTAATACATGAGTTCATGTACAGACATGGAGGATACTGAGCATGTCTCCGGTACGGTTTCTGGTAGAAACCAGTAGGGATGTCTTAGGCTGACTCGGTTGACACATGTCATCGTATCCCTCTTGTGAAGATCGATGCTCATGCTCAAGGTGGGTGGGGGTAATTGATTTCACTTACTTTGTACATAAATTTCCCCTAATGCAAGTCGTCTTCCTTGTCACACAGTCTTGTGCAGGGGGTTTGACTCTTACGTCTGTATGCAAAGATCTAAATATTTCACAGGTGAGGCGGTTTCACTGACCTCCTTTAGTTCCAGCTCAGGTAGACAAATACAGGCTAGTTGACAAATGTTGGACGATATCAGATCATAGATATACCTGAAGCTGAAGTTCCACACATGCCCTTGTTTTCATTTTGCTAACATGTAAAGAAATACGACCATCAAATAGGAGAGCGCAACTGAAGATTTAAAACAACTATTTGCATATAAGTGTAATTAGAATGTTCATTTAGTTTCGTTGTTGAACTGTTTCAGAAAGTGGACAACACGACCCCTGAGTGTAACGTCACCTCCATGACCGGAAGTTGCAGTGTGGCTCAGATGGATCCGTGTAGTTGTCACATTCACACGTGGTCAGGGACGGCGGTGTTCGGGGATGTGGGTTTCGGGTTGTTCCAGATATCGTCCGGGACGTCGGGCAGCTTCACGTACGACAACTTCACCATGGGACATACCATTGACAAGGGGGGTCAAGACGGCCAGAATAGGGTAGGGAATAATTGAAATCGGTCACTATATTTTAAAATATGATCTATCTCTAAGTAGTGAACGAGTATGTTACTTACAAAAAGATGCAATGCTAGCATTAGTTGGTTAGTAAGTTATTTAGTTGGTTGCAGTTGCAAAGACGTTATTGATATTAACCCCTGGACTATCTTGTCTATACCAAAATTTTTAGCTGTAATATTTTTTTAATGAGGCTTTAAACAATAGACAAACAAACGACACTAAACACACATAAGCTCAGCCTCTAACAGAAATATCAAAATGTGGACTGTACAGGAGTGACTGCTGCCACCCGGTGTCTTACATCAACGTGGTCGACATGGCCAGCAACACTGCTCAGTGCACATTTGACTTGGCTCCCGGACTCCCCATACCCGTGTACGACTGTGCGAGCACACCAGCTACTGCAAGTACATCATTTAGCATGAACCCGGTACGTATAGTATCCATGCATGTACATTTACATATACAAGATGATATCACTGGCTCTGATGGTAGTGTACATTACGTACGTATGTCAAATAGTTTGACCATACGTTTATATATACCTTTCATTATTGTGGATATGTTTATTAATGTCCTTTTCCTTAATGATTTCAATGAAAATGACAAGGTTTGTTTAATTACACAGAGTGAAGAGACTAGTGGCTTGTCTACTGGCGCCATTGCGGGGATAGCAGTGGGTGCGGCAGCGGCGTTGGCAGCAACGATTGTCACAGCTGTTCTTATTGGCAAGAAGGCCCTCTGCGTCTCCAAAACACACCCAAAAGTGGAGACGAGCCAACCCCCTTTGGGACATACACTGTGACACCTTTTCAGCACTTACATTATAAATATCCTTACAGTTTTGTCACAACACTATCGTATGATTTAACACCTTCTTTCCAAACACTTGTGTTATCTTGATGTTGTAGTAGCATTGTAACACAAAACAACTCTAAGTGTTCATACATAAACCTATTATCTGTGAGATTTCTTGTCATTTAAGCAGAGTTCGAACACAGGCACTACAGTGTGTAGCTTTTAATTCCTTAAATCTATGGACGTTTGAATACACAACTGGTTCCATACATTCACTTCCTGGTTGAAGTTTATAACGTGTCAATCCCACTGTTTATTCTTTGCAGGATCCGTCCAAAGACTTATATTGTATTATTACCAATGCATCTGATATACATACCTCATTGCGAGTCATTACAATAATAATAAGATTTTGTGTCCAGAAAATACAACATATATCATGTGTGTCTTAAGGTTTGTTGGTTGAATAAATAATTGATGTCAGATTATTAATCCTATTTGATCTTGTTTCCGAACTGTTTGCATGTAAATGGCTGCTACAGACTGCCCTAACCCACTATCACACCGAGGAATAGTCTAAAATACAGCGGCAAAATGCCTAATAGTATATATCTAGACGTGAACTATAACAGATTGTGAGATTTCGATAAAGAATCAGTTAATATGAGTAGCTTAAGCAGTAAAAGAAAGTTCAAACAATTCAATTTTCAGTATTTCTCTGACTTAGTAAAAACGTTATAATAGTATTTTCTGCTACGAGAGATACCGATAACAGGATACTGATGCAGAGTACCAATGGCTTGTAGAATATTTTCCGGTCCAGTAGTAAAAGACAATGTCTTTTTGGAAAGGACTTTTCGATAAATATTGGTAATTATACGGGTAATCTCGCACCTATTTATACACGTCTGAACGTATTCTGTGATCATAACCAGTTTATAACAAATGTACAGTAGCTGAAAACGAATCCTTTTATTGAATCCTGTTTGTATAGATACACATGTAGCACAGATTACAACCAGTCACTGACAACCTATAGTGTGGACGAGTGCACGGTAAATGTTCTTGTGACATACTGGAAGTCCTCGGGGGCGTCTATAGCAGTCGCCATTATCGTCACAGTTCTGGAAAGACATTGAGCAAACATGAAGGGAACGACAGTAGTGTACTTCAGACCCAGACATAATTTTCATTATAATGGTAGATCTATTATTAATGTGACAGTTTCAACTAGCCACATGATATATGATGGACAATATGATGGAGATAGTAAGTAGAACTTCCAGTTATATGGTGGGCCATCTTTCCTACGATGGTGTTGGAGATTCCGAGCTAGAACAGTTTCCCAGCAAGCTATGCTGGTCACGTGAGGCCAATCAGAAGTATGGGTGGTCAGGCTCGGCGAGTTTTTGATAGCATGCCATTGTATCCCAGATGATAATGATTGTCTAGTCTAGACTCGACTATGTAAAGGAATCCTTTACTGGAACTGTGATACGCTCGTCGTTCAATGAAAACAATGAAGGAAATGTTTCGGATGTTGTATGTCCAAACAAATTTGGTAATGACCTTGAGAAATATAAATCGTTTCTCGCGGCAAACAAACAAAATGTTTTGGTCTCAATGGGGTTTTGTGTAGTTTTGTTCGCAACGACACCTCTAATGCTTACAAAACTATTTTCTCACAAAAGCAAGGTTTTAAAAGAAGGCTGATGATGATATATATAGACGATGCTTACGTTGACACATCGGGAGTCCTTCCTGCGGCAATTACAACTTTACGTCTCGTGTTTTCCCCCGGCTGAAGATTCAGTGTGATGCCTGAAGTAACTGCTAGCTTCAGACTGTCTGCTACATCCAGTTTCACTCTTTCAGAGTTGCGTCCCTTGTTGATGACCTTCACATGTATGTGTGTTTCACTTCCGACTTGAAGATCTCCTGGTATACATACATCCAAAGGAACAGATATATGATAATGAACGCTCCGTGCTGCTACAAATAACGTACAACTCGAAATACACAGCTGGGCAAAAAGGGTATTCATTTGGAAATACCAAACCTTCAAAAGTTACTAGGCCGAAAATCATCACCCAAACACGGCAGAATGCAGCTATGATGTCAAATACATCACTATCGAATGACTATTTCTTGTTTGTCAGACGTTGGTGTGTCTTATGCACGGCAGATTAGTTAAAATGTCATGTCAATAACGGAAATCCCATGGACAACACGGATATAACGAAAGAGAATGCAAAGGAAATTATTTTTACGCATCTTCAAATAATGAACAATCCTATGATGTTCCTGACGCACTGACGTTAACGGAGGAACAGACTGAGACATAAACTGACCAACAACTCGTTCCACGCTGAGGGACAGGGTGCTAGGCTTAATTAGATCAGGCTTCTGTCGTTGAAACAGGTGCCCGTCGTTATCCCGCCCTTCAATAGCCATGCGATAAGGCTGGAAAAGAATACCATGATCAATTGCTTGCCTCATTGGAAAACCGCATACTGGCATACAATATTGCTATTTGTTCACAGCCACTTGTAAGCTATAGTAACGGGATCGTAAGTAAATGATCGAGTGTGCTAGTAACAGACTACATGGTCTGTAGCATATACCTGATCGGGAACAGCGATACTGGCAACAAAGTTGTGGCCTCTCTTCTTTCTGTGTGTGAGGCTGCAGCGGTCGATCTCCTCACCCACAGTGTTATAGAGGATCAGAGAGTCTATGGAGGATACAGCGTTAGCTGCCGTCACTGCCACAGCGTGGGTCACAGATTCACCTGAAGATGCATATTCAGAACAAGTTCATAAAATACCCAAAACAAACGACACACATTTAGTCACACTTGCAAACAGAATGAACACACTCGAGTTGCCGATGTTTGCCACCAGAGTGGCTTCTCTGTCTGTCCCAGTGGTTTGTCGAGCCGAGGCACATCCGTGGTTGACAGCACGATGACACGCCGCCAGTCATGGATCTCTCAATCTTCTTTAGCTGAACTAGCGTACACCATCAGAAACATAATTGCAGTAATAGTCATGAGCATGGGTATGAAAACTTGGTCCGAATATACCCGAGGTTGTCCGAAGATTCCCGAGAATGTGATCTATGACGACTATATCACTACGACTGCACTGTGACTATGGAGTGGAGTGGTCGTGATTTTTGTGATTAGTCCTGAATCTCGAATATTTCTGACATTGTTTGTCAACCATACGATTGACGACGAGACAATATAAATCAAACCTAGTTGAAGGACGAACTGATAATATTTGCCAACCATCAGATAAATGGACGAAATAAGTTAGCAAGTAAGTACAATTTCAGCCTTACCTACTACCGGTTTCCCCTCGATGAACATACTGTGTCCGTTGTCATTTGTTTTGACCATGTTGTCTTTAATGTCTAACACCGAGTTGCCGTAGATGCTGACCTCAGCGACGTCACTGCCGTCGTTCTTTACAGCCCACTTGCCAGGCTTGGGGGCCTAGATTTGTAACAGAAAAGAAAAGAAGTACGGACAAAATATCTAAAAAGTAAAAGTATAACACATAACTAAACTATAAGCACGTTGGTTACGGGCAGATGACAATGTATGGAAGAACGGTGACTTTGTGTCTACCTCAACTATGAGTTCGCCTTCTTCGTGTTGGGTGACAGGAACCAGTTCACCTGCAAACACAATACATCGAGAATATTTAACCACAACTGCTGAAAACAACAATAACTACTCTGTAATACTGAAACATCGAAAATGTTTTGAAAATATTACCATTTTGCGTAAATCATATTGCCCACTGTGATAAAGTCATTAGTTTAAGATATTCTAACGGGGGTTGAAGTATGTGTATAATACGCGTGGTTATACATTAAAGGCACCTACCGTACGGGTTAAACACTCTCACGCCCCCATTGTTGTTGCTTCCTATCAGTAGCGTCTTGACCGTGTTGTCCACGTGGAACATGTTTATTGAGAGGCCTCCGAGGGAGAATTCGCTCAAGAGAGGCAACTGCCTCTGAGGAATCTGAAAGGTATACGTCATAACATATACATGCGGGGCGGTGGGGTAACCTAGTGGTTAAAGCGGTCTCTCGTCACGCCAAAGACACGGGTTCGATTTGCTCAATGCGGCGTAAAACTAAACTCACTCACATATACATGCATCGTACACCCAGAAATATGTATCATTTCATACCGAACGAGGGTCTGAATACACAGTCTTTCACAGTGATGTGATATCACGAGACTCCGAGGTTCAATGCACTGTAACATAACTGGAGGCAGCGACACGTTACACATTACCTTACCTTATTTGGTCTTGCTGAATATGACGAGGTTATGTGCTGTATGTCAAATCCAGGTGTCTTGGGGTTAAACTGGACAGTGCCACGACCTATGCAGATTCACAAGCGTTTTTTCATCATAAGTAATTTTGTAATCAGTACTGTTATTTACCTACATTGTTTGATACCATAGTGCCTTATCAATGATAATTACTTAATTAACTTTAAATTGAGAAAGGTGCCCTGAAAGGTAGATGTCATGTAGACACTTGCCACTGTTTCTCTTCCTCCGCGAGCAGTCTCCGGTGAGAATGAAGCTCACTGCGATCTTCTTTTCTGTTACCATGCTCGTGACGTAGTTGATCTTGGCCGCGTCTTTGGGCGAGGCGTCGGTAAAGACGTACACCTTTGAGTTAGGGTTGGCAACAGTAGCGGCTGTCGATGGATGAACTACGTTTCATATATTGCTTTCCGTAGTAGTTTTATGAATATGTCTACAAATACAGCAGTATGTTGAGAAAAACGTTTAATTACCATCCATGCATTACCCGAAAACATGATGCTACATTATAAGTCATTAACCATCGCAAAAAGTATTTTCAACAGGTTCAGTCAATCTTACTAATTACAGACCAAGTCAGGAGTTTGTGTCATTTACGAACAAAGCGAAGAGAATCCAGGACTGTCTGCATGTACTGGACACATACCTGACTATACCCTTGTCGGGGAAACTTCTGATCGGTGTTTATGGCGCACCTGCCTGTCGACCTGTGAGGGAGAACTGTGATCGGTGTATATGACGTACCTACCTGTTGACCTGTGAGGGAGAACTGTGATCGATGTATATGACGTACCTGCCTGTCGACCCGTGATCGGTGTATATTACGTACCTGCCTGTCGACCAGTGAGGGAGAAACTGTGATCGGTGTATATGACGTACCTTCCTGTCGACCCGTGATCGGTGTATATGACGTACCTACCTGTAGACCTGTGAGGGAGAACTGTAATCGGTGTATATGACGTACCTGCCTGTAGACCTGTGAGGGAGAACTGTAATCGGTGTATATGACGTACCTGCCTGTAGACCTGTGAGGGAGAACTGTAATCGGTGAATATGACGTACCTGCCTGTCGACCCGTGATCGGTGTATATGACGTACCTGCCTGTAGACCTGTGAGGGAGAACTGTAATCGGTGTATAAGACGTACCTGCCTGTCGACCTGTGAGGGAGAACTGTGATCGGTGTATATGACGTACCTACCAGTAGACCCGTGATCGGTGTATATGACGTACCTGCCTGTAGACCTGTGAGAGAGAACTGTGATCGGTGTATATGACGTACCTGCCAGTAGACCCGTGATCGGTGTATATGACGTACCTGCCTGTAGACCCGTGAGGGAGAACTGTGATCGGTGTATATGACGTACCTACCAGTAGACCCGTGATCGGTGTATATGACGTACCTGCCTGTAGACCCGTGAGAGAGAACTGTGATCGGTGTATATGACGTACCTGCCAGTAGACCCGTGATCGGTGTATATGACGTACCTGCCTGTATACCTGTGAGAGAGAACTGTGATCGGTGTATATGACGTAGCTGCCTGTAGACCTGTGAGAGAGAACTGTAGTCGGTGTATATGACGTACCTACCTGTAGACCTGTGAGGGAGAACTGTAATCGGCGTATATGACATACCTACCTGGAGACCTGTGAGATCTGTGAGGGAGAATTGTGATCGGTGTATATGACGTATCTACCAGTAGACCCGTGATCGGTGTATATGACGTACCTACCAGTAGACCCGTGATCGGTGTATATGACGTACCTGCCTGTAGACCTGTGAGGGAGAACTGCAATCGGTGTATATGACGTACCTGCCTGTAGACCTGTGAGGGAGAACTCTGGACAGTCACCTCCTCCATGGACTGAGAGACTAGAGAGATAATTCATCACAGCCGTTCCATTCTTGGATTTAAATATATCCGTCTTGTTACCTGAAACAAATTGGATTCTGAATGATTTTGTGCTCATTCTGTTATCCATTTAATTCGGACTGTATGATTTGATATTTGTTTGTGATCAATTGTGAGTGAATGTGCGAGTGAGATGACACGCCCCCATCCAGCAATGTAGCAGCAATGTCACCCCGGGGATACCAAAGTCGGACGCCACACCATTATCTATTCCCTCACCCCGGCCATGTTATCCTATATAGTACCTGGATCGTTAAAGGTAACGACGATGTAATTATAGGGTTGGTTTATTGTGCCAAGTGTTTCCTTGATAATTTCCTGTGTCTTTTTTATGACGGCGGCAAGGTCGTCGCCCATGGAGCCGGTGGTGTCGATGACGAAGACCATGGAGTTTCCAGCCGTCAGTTGCAACAGTTCCTGAAAGTTCTCATCTCCAATCAGGGAATGTAGACCATACGCTAGAAACAAAATACAACCAGAGAAATAGTTATAGGGAACATCTGCAGCATACTTGAACGATCCAATACTGCATTCAAGACTAAAGACATAATTATAGTTCACTTTGAGCCAAACCCAACTGGAGAAATAATAATTACGGAAAATCTGTCGTCGGATTGGCAATCGGACTAAATTTGATTAAGTTCATAATCAACTCCCGTGAATTATCTTGGTTAATGGTCTTTTGCTGAAGTTTATCACATGTGGCAGCTCATTCAAGGGAACTGTTGTAGTAAATAAACAATGGAAGAGTGAATGTGCTTCTACCTGTTACATAAAGGGTGGCGTGAATGAAGTGAACAAACTATATTTGACATGTAGGTCTCCGAGGTTCATAATATTTCAAGCGAACAAAACTTGAGTGAAAAGTAGACTGTTGAAAGAAATCTACAACTTGTGAATATGAGCCGAATAGGGACACACGAATTATAATCAGACAGTATCAACCCGAAATACAGAAGAAATGTTTACTTAAGTGAAGATCCGTTTACAAGTAGTCTTCAGCAACTCATGCTTGTCTTAAGAGGCGACTAACGGGATCGTGTGACTCATGTCCTAGTATCCCAAATCAGTAGATATTTACAGCCCGCCGCCATATAGCTAGAATATTGCAGAGTGCGGCGTTAAACAACAAACAAGTAAGAATTATTTTCAATAAATGTGTCTGTGAATCGCTAAATGTGGGACACTTGCGTATTTACCAGGGTGTCCAAAGAGGAACCTAGTGTGCATGATCGCCCCCTGAGCGGCGGTGTCGTGAAGCGGGGCGTGGGGGGACATTTTGGCGTCGCTAGTGTCCTTGTTGATACCGCCGATAGCAGCAATGGTTTTACCAGACTGGTCATACGGGCCGCCGTGACTACATTTCCCCGTCTTGAACGTCGCTGGGTCCTCTGTAAGCAAAGTGTTTCAGTTCGTGAGTGAGTTGGGTTATACGCCGATTTTAGCAATCACGGCGGGAACAACAGAAAATACTTCACACATTGTACCCATGTATGAAATCAAAGCCGGGTCTTTAAACATTGGGTTACCCCTGTTTCCGTTAGGCAGAGTTCATTTAATGGCCAATGAATGTTGAGGGTACTATGTGAACAATCTGTTTCAGATGGATGAAGTAGATCGGTTGTCTAGTAAATGTCGATGTACATTTTACAACCTTTGGCGAGCATACATTAATTTACAGAAACATGGTTCTTTTAACCATGCAAACATCTCAGCTATACTATTGTCAACCAAACCCGCTCCCTCCCCAAAGTGACCCTCAGCTGCAGTTCGTTATATCCGAAGTTCGTTAGTCACTGGTTCGTTACTCCAGGGGTCAGCAACAGCATCTTGTATCCGGCAGCCGTGGTGCCATCCGGATTCAATGTACTCACTTGCCGGCTTGTGTCTGTCCTGTCCACTCCGGTATCCACTGGTCAGAAGGGGACCTTGGACTATGATGTTGGCTGTGCAGGGTATCCCAGTAGAAGAGCTGAAAGGGGAGGGCGGTTCGCTGTAGCGGTTCACTGTTGTTAGAGCGTGTATCCAATGTACATTTCTGCATTGAAGGTTTAGTATTGGTCGGCAAACGGTATGCACATACTCTCCCATAAACATTAGATAGCATCATTCTTCCTCAGTTTCATACTTATTTGTAACGCTGTAGGCTTATTTCATTGTATTCAGCAAATATACCTAGCAATATATTCATGAAGGGTGTCTGGACTGAAGGTCATGCATACATTACCAACACACTGCAGCCAACAGTTCATAACAGCTGAATATGCATACAGGTCATACAGAGTACAGCTGCACTCACCCACAGCTGCGACACGTGTCCATGGCGGATGGTGCCTGGGCCATGAGTGGTTTTCCCCGCATCCCTGTAGACAGACACGCGGTGATGTTGTTAGTCGGTACGTAGTGTTGCTATAGTCAGCAATGTTACAACTGTGTTACAGTTGTTAGATACAACCAGTTGTTAAATGTAAGTCATAAACAACAGTCATCAGGAAGGTTGACAAACACTGCGCCAAGACACGTGGATTACTGAGGATGCAGTGATAAGGGTGTAAGGGGTGTTATTAGTTCTTGTGTCTGGGGATGTAACGCTGTGCCTAGCAATATTCCAGTTGTATGAAGGTGGCCTGTAAATAATGGATATTGTCAACAAAGACCAGGGCGTCATGGTACAACACGCTATCAACCTCGTCACCGAACCTGACCACCCAATCCACTATAGTTCACCTCTTATGATCAGCATAAGTTGCTGGGATCCCACATCTGAATCCTCTCGTTGAGGACATGTGTGAACAAAGTTACAATTACTCGAGACTTATTCGACTATTCGAGGATATTTTTACTTTTATCAACGAGTGCTGATATTTTCTATATCAGAAGACACGAGGGTGAGATTCTATTTATCATCAAAGATCACTCTTCATTGGTTTTGAAAAATGTACATCTCTGAATACGGTACTGCCATTAGAATTGGAGTGCAGCGATGTCATAGCATTGTGACGTCATCAGATTTATGACGCCATACCATTGTGAGTCATGTAATTGATGATGTCAAAGCATTGCGAGCTCATGTAATTTGATGAAGTCAGAGCATTGTACAAAATCTATTGTCAAAAACGATATCTCACACAAGCAATATCTCCATTGGAACACAGTTTTGGATAATAAAGACTTCTACATACACAGGATGCTATCAATATCGGCTGACTGTGCGAAATCTCACAGAACAAAATCCTGCTATGCAGAATGCATTTGTCGTGTGTATTGTTCATTCCGTAATTCATGTTTTGTTAACTTACTTACATATAAAAACGTCAATACATTAATACATGGTTTGAGCATACCTAGAGACTCATAGGCCGCCTTTCCACTGAGTTCCGGCCAGTTGGTGTTGCTGTAGAACATCTGGACAATGTGTAGAAACTGACCAATCAACTCTCGAGCAGCATCGAGGTTGGGATTGGTCTTGGTCTTGTTTAAAACATTGATGGCTGTTTCCCGTAGCAACGTGATCTTGTCGTTACCTGAAGTCGTCATTATATTAATGAATTGCATTTCAATAAAACATTAAAATATTGAAATATTACTTTAAAATTCCATTACGTAGCATCACCCCATATTGATGGTGTTTCCAATTCATTTACGGATGATGAACTTCTGACAGCCGAGTGTATCAGTATACCACTTTAACATTAATTATCACATTCACAGCTAAAACAACACTTACATTTTCACCGACCAATCTTATTTGAATAAGACGTCAAGTTCAAAGGTCAACTTTTATTTCTGACGTGACCTGAAATGGGATGTTGTCAGATCTTTGTGTAACGTAAGTGAGCACTGTAATCTAATCTGTCATGTTTAGTTAATATGCCAATGGCACCTTCTTTGATGGCCTCCCCGTTGACGTGCCAGGCAGACTCGGAGTAGTGGTCCTGGTCCACTCTGTTGTTGGCCTTCACGATGTCATCGATGGCCTCCTGGAACCGCTTCTCAGATACAGTTCCTGTCATCAAATTACATACAATAACACAACAACCACAATCTACGAGGCATGATCTGTTTTGGAACATGGCAAAAAATGGCGGACATCACCACATGTTCCTTGTTCAAAACTCTATGCCGTTATGCAAAATGTTTTACGAAAACATTTACACAATATGATATATAGTTATGGTTAGTTTTATACGTTGTGCAAAAATGGGCATCTCCAGGGACCCTGAGAATATTATAGAATGATCAGGAAAGCGTACCCAAAAATCTCTATTCTGTACTGTCATTTTGATACCTTTGTACGGAACTTGAATTAATTGTGAACAGAATATAATTGTTAATAATAGCAAATTATTTTGCTGGAATCAACACGTTTCACGCCTAGTTCTTTTACGGATTGATTATTGATTAACGTTTCTGGTTTACCATGGAATCAACACGTGACCATATTGACCTATCTATCTAATACTGACGATGTTATATTATCACTTCTGATACAAGAATAATGGATGACGTCATGTGGTTTTGTTAACAGGCTGCATTTTGCTTGAATTGACCAATCTCTGAGAGTCTGTAATTGGTAGTCTTTCTTCAGCCTTCACAACAGAGTATCACAAGAGCTAGCTAAATATCCTGCCATTCTGACTGCGTTAATGTGCATATTACCCGCTTATATGTTGTTCTGGTGAGGTGTTATCTATAATGTGTCTACATTGCCTTGTATTCTCTCGGGTAAACTTCAAATCCAAACAATGATAACGAATGCTGTGGTGACGTCGAATGAACGAAACCTCTCAAACACGTATCAAATTCATCCTACGACTGATTAAAGCATCTGGAACAATGTCGTCGCATCATAGAAAGAAGAAAATCGTCGGCAAAGCAATGTCTCCTGAGCACCATCTCTGGACTTTAGTATCAGAACCAACATCATCGTACAACCCCATTTCACAACGATTTCACAGGACTACATCATGACACAGGTTCATTTGCAACAGCAGCAAATCCATGACTGCGAGAGATATCTGAACAAATGTGGAAAACCTGTGGATGTTATTCTGGTACAACAACACCGTCTACTGGCAGATAACTGCATAACGATATGGGTGAAACTCCCACACAGGTATAGGAAATCTGGGGCAAGAACAGTCCTATGTTCTTGTGATGATGTACTACCTTTGTTCCCAAAGCAAATTCTTCTAACTTCATCTTTCAAACTGATGACCATGCATACCGCAAACTAAATTGATTACAAATAAATTCATGACAGTGAAACATTCTGTAGTTTCGATCAGGTTACTTTGTGTGTTTATCTAGTTTAAGTTTCACTAGCCAATGAGAAAATTACTCATTAAATAACAAGTTGCCGGAATAACTTGAAGGATATGAACAACCTTGTTCTGACAGGGTGTCATCATGTTGTAATGAAATGACATACTACTGTTTCAGGAAATGATTAATCAGTTACAGATAATCCTTAAACATCAAACCTCGTAAGCTATATTCAACGTATTCTTGGATCACTTCTATATCTGAAACAAACATCTATAACCCAAATGACGGGAACATGGCAGTTCTTTCAGTTAATATAAACACATTCCAGCCAGATGGCAGCGGTTTGTAAATAATCGACAATCATATAAAACAACCAATCCAGTGATTGTCATCACGAACATGGATCTGCCCCAATTGGGATACGATGACATGCAATAAATAAGTCAACCTGACTTCCCGATCCAGTTAATCGCCTCTTACGACGAGTTTCGGTTCCTGAAGATCAATTATAACCTGGTTCTTCACGGGTTCGGACATTGGCATGAAATGCTCACAATTAAGTTTTCTTAGTTTCAATGGCTTGTTGGTTATACCTCCGTAATACTTGTCGAAGAGCTTCCTGGCTGTGATGTCCTTAATCCCGGTAAGCGCCCCAGGAGATATGGACTTGCCAGGCAAGGGGTTGTTTTCGAAGAACTCGGCGACAGCGTACAGGATGCCGATCTCCGTGATGTCCTGATGGGTGTAGTCGGAGCCTGAGGACAGGAGGGTGAACTGGTTGGGGAGGAACCCCCGGGCACAGGGCCATGATATCAGCGTTAACACTGTCAACAAGGTAAATAACATGGTGTTCCCTATGGCAAATGTTCCTTATCTGCTTGGCACTTTTCACCATAACCCTGCTTCCGTTTAGAGCGCGTTCTGCGAATGATGTGACAGTAATTGCATTGGGCCGTTTCTAACCCGAAAACACCATGTTTCCCCGTGATAACCTAAACGTAACACGGGTGTCACCCTCTGTCGTCACCGTTACTTCTAAAGACGGCGTTCTCACTTACATACTCTTGGTGAACACACGACACACCTCGTAATAATTATTTTTTTTACTCGGAAGTTTATGATTTCATTGGAAACTGTATTGTGATTCACAGGGTTACTCTTCAGATCAGTGTACATATATCACACTATCACAGTGAAACATATTCTGGACATGTTATTCAGTTATAGAGACGAAAGACAATTCCTTATATACTGAAAGGCAAAAGAAACGTCGCAATATTAGAAATGACATTTGAGTATCAATGGAGTATTTGAACCTATTTTTTTAAATATACACCAGAAGTCAAGTTTGAGGAAACATGAATCGTGGTCGTATAGCCTGCATTGCCCAATAAAGTATTGTTTGAGATTGAAGTTAGAATGTTTTTGTTTTTGGAGAGGGAAAAGTTCCCACAAACACAACATTGAAATCGAGATGCACGTGCATCATAAATGCATTCAGGCATAAATTGCCGGCTTGAATGGCAATCGTTCACTTGTTTTCTGAACACAGCAGCTATGACTAGGTTAACGAGAGATAAACCACAACAAGCTATTGGACGTCTGCACGCTGGTCAACATGCTCGAGTCATTGCTAATGACTTCAGTTGCAGCGTACGAACGATAGAACGTCTTAGAGTGCGATACAACGCCACCAGCAGCACTGATGACCGTCCACGTAGTAGTCAACCCCGTGTAACAACACGTCGCCAGGACCGTCATATCGTCCATCAACACGTGCAAGACCTATTCGCAAGGGCCAGAGAAACAGCTTGGGTGACCATAGGAAACCACCAGCGACCAGTCGGTGACCTACAATTCGGCGACGTCTCCAAGCCAGGAACCTGTTTTGTCGATGTCCTGCCAGGAGACCCATATTCACCCAACGTCACTGCCGGGAACGTATCCAAGTGGACACAACAGCGGCAAAACTGTCGTGGGGGACAATGGAGAGGGGTTATCTTCTCTGATGAAAGTTGGTACTGCATTTCAGTGGCGTATTATTTTAAAAACATAGGTTCAAACGTCCATTGATACTTAAATGTCATTTCCAATATTACGACATTTCTTTTGCCTTTCAGTAAACCAGCGAACCGAGAGAACAATGTCTATTCTTGATCGTCAATGCATTCTGAAGGTATTTCGTACCTCAATAAACTAGTTCCGATTGGTATGAAGAAGGTATCGTTTTCGTCGTTTCAGGTACCGTTAGGTGATTCGTATTCTCCTTTGAGAAATTGAAACGTTGACAATCACTCGGAAGCGGATATGGTCTTGAAAGATGATTCGATAGTTGGACATGACACTGCAGTTGAATATGAGAGCACGATTACTTGTGAGTGTGAGATCCCACCCGGGGAAAGCTGTATATAGTTGTCACGACTTTCAACTGTTTAGCGATATCTATGTACATTACCAGGATGTATACAGTGGCAGCTGTCAGTGTCCACGGCTATCTGACCGTAATCTCATGGTGACCTACTCACGTTGTTACCACTGAAACGTGTACCCATCATGCATCGTCTACTCTCGACAAGCTCTGACTGATTGACTGATTGATGTTTTATGCCGCACTCAGCTATATTCCAGCTATATGGCGGCGGGCTGTAAAAATCTAGTCTGCACCAGACAATCCAATGATCAACTGCGTGAGCATCGATTTCTGTAATTGGGAACCGATGACATGTGTCAACCAAGTCAACGAGCCTGACCACCCAATCCCCTTAGTCGCCTCTTTCGACAAACATGGGTTGCTGAAGACCGATTCTAACCAGGATCTTCACGTATGATTGATATATCAAACGAGTGAATTAGTTTAGAACTTAATTCCATGATGTCCCATGATCCCTCGCTGTCCTCGTCTCTATTCAACAACGAGACATTATCTGCGTACTATTTCCGTCGTTCATCAACAGCTATGACGTCGGGTTGAGTGATACAATAGGCGAAATGACGTCAACCCGTACCTGTGCAATGGACAGTCACAAACAGGAACATAATATGTATATATAGAGAGAGGATATTATATGAGTGCCCATGTCATATTATGTTTATGACACGAGTGCCTAAATGTTTGTATTTCCCGAGCGAGAGCATGAGTGTCGTAAACACAGCATGATATGGGCACGAATATAATATTCTATTTATTACCGAAGTCGTCAAATTGAGGAAAATAAACCCAATACAAATCTACTTTCAAGCATAGGCTGGCTACCCGCCGTCGCCGCATGTAGAACGCAACGTCAGAGAAGAAACGTGACGTCATAACATTGTTCATGACGTCACGTCACCATGACAAAGTGATATTTTGCCCTAGGGCATCGTATGAAATATATGAACCCCGATAGGTTCGCCCTCGTAGGTAATAAATTTTAATATGACGTTTACACGATTTATTCGGCTTTCCTTTGGACGAGAGGCTTTACCATTGGTCAGATGACGTGTTTAATTGACATGTACCAGTCTGTAGCAATTTATCAAAATATATATTGTACACATCTTTCTTATCACCTTGCATCTTTCCTGTCAGCCAAATGATCAAAGATGACTCACAATTGCGAGAGGCGCAGCATCATGAAAAACACAGGAAATCTCCCCCGACCCGTCTATCGTGTCGGTCATTATGACGTCCTGTATTTCAGGTAAACTGACCGACGTACTAAGGTAGTTCTGGTGGTCTTAGATTACGAATCTGTTTGTGGTAACCCACCAACAAAATGATGCACCTGTAGGAAAGGTTCACCATACGAACGCTCGTGTAACCGCGCCTTTTGATTAACTATTTTATTTAAGTTCAAAGTTTATATGTTAAAGTTCTATGGCTGCCCGTGTAAACACGTCAGAACTGCTACATGGAATTGTGTAATACATCCCTCAAACAGAGATATAAATATATACAAATTGACTGAAGTGAATGTGCCATGTCACTTGTAAACCCCTGATGTGTGTAAAACATTTGTTCAGAATATGTATTGTGTATCCTAATAGTATATAAATATATACCGATGTAATGCTGAGTGGTGGTGTGTGGTCCTGTGCATAGAGTTCAGGTCACTCATCAGTTGAAGTTAAGCAACGTTGGGCACGGAGAGTCGCTGGGTGACCGTGTTTGGCAGCTTGACTATTGAGAGTGTCTAGGATTTCGGTCCTGCCCCACAACAAAGCAAATGAATTTGTCAAAAAATTGCCTATGTTCACCCAGCAGAAAATGGGTACCCGGTAGGATGTCACGTGACTATTAACCTTCTAGCCAGCCCCGGGTTATCCGGGGTAATATTGTGCTGGGCTCTGATTGTTAACGCTGTGAGCATTCACCTAGTGAATGGAGTTTAGCGCATTATAAATGGACTTATTATTTATACTACCCATCAAATGTTTAGACTCACTTAAAGCACTCACTATATGTTATGAATATATATATGGTTACATCGAAGATGAATTTCTCCACTAACTGGGTGGAACCAACTGCAAAATTTATGTTGATGATGGCACGAGTATCATGCATCAAATTTCTGTAAACCATGTGCAAATATCGCGCATGTGAACAGCTGCATTTTGGTGTAAAGTTTTGTTTAGAATTCGCTAATTTTCACTGAGTTTCATCATTTACTGAACTCATGACAATAATCTTTTGAACGTTACGAATTCGTTTTACAATACACCAGTTCATGTGTAAACAGCACCTTCAAACAGTATGGAATATTTTGCAAAATCCAATTAGAACAGTTGACTGAAGTAAGTGGCTACATTTACACTAGTGAGTCTAAACTTTTGATGGGTAGTATATAGTGTGAAGGATGTCTTAGTTGCCTGAAATGTCGTCACGTCAGATTCCTTGTTCCAACACTGATAATCAGTGTAACGAAATGAGATCTAATGAAGACAAAACTATTCTTTGTGACATAAATAGCCCTTTAATATATTCTTCGTACTTTTGGTCATTGTATTAATAGCATGTGACCGTCTGAAGATGTCTCGTGTGCAGATTCCGCAATAGCGCCTTCATTGCTGAAATATACAGAAATACTAAATACAGTTTCAATAGGTGTATTTCTTAATAAACTGACATACAAAACAAAGTACATGCCTGGCGCTTGGGGAATACTTCCCCCTAAAAGATCAAGTAAATATTTTGACAAGTGTTTAATTGTGATGTACAAATCACATATCTTGTTTACATGTTGCCACGACACCACAGATTCCCTTCACAGGTATTCATTTGTTAAGTTATAAGCATGTTATACGACAACAGTATCAAAACCATTGAGATTGTTAGTTGTATACCTGTAGAAGGCACACATCAAAATGCCAAGATTGGACATCCCACCTACCTCTGACGCGTGCACTGTAAATGTCCTCATTACATATTGGTAATCGTCACTGGCATCAACAGGGGCAGCCTTGATCATAACGTTCCTGGAATATACACGTTGTGATGTCACACAGGTAAATGTTATATCCTTTAAATACACTTATACTCTATAACACATTTTGTGAGTGAAAATGAATTACTACATGTTGTTAATTGGAGAACTACATTCTCGAAACTCTGGATCAGTTTAGGATATGAATAGGGTTTATATATAAGGGATATTTTTATGTGCAACCTGTTCCGGTTTGAGATCGTCATACTTGTATGACTTTGGTCATTTCTAAAAGAGTTAAAAACGTTCAGCATATATTGAAAAAAATAATTTTTGTTCGCTGGAATGTCAAACAGGTTACATAAACAAACTTGATAAAATGACAGTCGCTAAACATGTAGTGCAAGATCAAGGAAAGTACGGCCACTCCCCAGGGTCAAACAGATAGACAGAAATCACTTACGAAGACACCCCCGCATAGTGGCCGCCATTAAGTTCGAAGTATACAGTGACACTGACTCCTGTCCACAAGTACACTGTTTTGTTGGTGGGGGGCGAGACGAGGCCCTGGTCATCACTGATGCTCATTAACACCTTCTGATACGCGGACCCGCGATTGACCGCCTCCACGTGCAGGTACATATGCCCGTCCACCGCGAGCTCACCTGCAGAAAGTATACACAATATTTTGTACCTGCACAGTGTGTACGTGTAGCTGATATATACAATACTGTGTACCTGTTGATCACCTGTATAGCATATAAATAACATTGTTTTCTTGTGGGGAATAAAGACGATAGCGTTTACCATTAAACCACATGCATTGCCTTTACACAATAGCGTGTACATGTAGAAAAATAATCAATATTGTTTACCTACAGAGAGTGAGTGGGTGAGTTTAATTTTATGCAGCCTTTAGTACCAGAAATGGGCTTCACACACTGAATCCATGTGGGAAATCGAACCGGTTTATGGGCGTGACGAACGAACGCTCTAAACACATGGCTACCCTACCGCCCTTATCTCCAGAGAGTAAACGAACAATGTTGCTATTCTGCAAATCACCTTTGGATGGTTCAACTAATGTTGGAACAAATCGATACAAACAGTAGACATGAAGGTTCACCTTCAAACAAGTTATGAATATTAGTTTAAATACAGCGACCCAACTTCCATGTGAAAAAACAACCATAACTACAAGCAGTGATGTTTTGTGGATGTTTCAAGCACGTTCGTTGAACAATAAGTTTTCTATGAGACAATGCACAATAATCAGGTATACACCTATCCTACCTTTAATATCCTGTATTTTCAGGTCCAAGGCACTGGGTTTTACAAGCGACATCTTGGCTCTCTTGAACGTATTTCCAAGCTTGTCTTTCCCTCGACCCCTACTCGGAATGGCTGCAATTGAGAACACAGTCGGCATTATACAATACACCCATTGTTTTTTGCACTTTTAAAAAAAAGCCAAACACATGCAGGAATAGTTTTCACCTTTTTGACTTTGAAAAAGTGCTACTATTCATCAATGTGTTATTTTATGTACAGAACAAAGGTTTATGTCTTCGGCAAACTCTTTATCTCAAACATATTACTTTTGCACTACCGGCGAAAGAGAAGCTGACTCACGACAGAGGGTATAGTACCCTGCGCCCCGTAGCTGTCACCCCTGTGACCTTGGGGGAGCAGTGGGGCGCGGTACAAGACGACGCCCTTCTCATCAATAAACACAACGTCATCAACCGAGCCCTCCTCATCGGCCCCTGAAACCTGGATCACGACAGGCGTGGTTGTACCTGAGTAGTAGAAGAACAGAGAATGAATGTTGTATAACGCCATGTTATGGTGGTCTGTAAAAAGACGAAACAAGTTGATAGTTCTTGAGTAAAGATCACCGATGAGTATTGAACGTTGACAAGGGCACCCAATGTTAGCAACCAGCTCTTGTTGCCGTCGGTTCACACTATTGGACAGTAAGGACCTATTCAGAGCTGGAAGTCTCTCGGAGCCGGACTCGTTGGGTGGATTTGTGCCAGGATTCGCTGTTTGGGAGTTCGAATCGCCGATTCATTTCAAGACATCTACTACATTCACATCAAAGTTGATAATAAGTTTATTCTGCGATACTCAATACTAGTATTATTTCAAACAGATATCCACGTAGGGCTATGTTTCGTTCACAAATCCAAACACTAAAACGACAACGCCAGAGAATAGGCAGCGTCAATTGTCCTCTATTAGGCGTTAAAGTGAAAATAGTGATGAAAATCCTAAGAATGGATCACTGAAAATTAGAGACGATAGCATGTGTTCGCGAAAAGAGTAACTCACGCTTTATTTCTCTTTCGTGATGACCAAAACTAAATCTTGAAAAGGTTTTCGTTTCTTCCCAAACTTAAACCTTCTTAGATTAACAATAAATAGTATTTCCCTGCGACTAGTCATATGTACACATGTTAATGTTACCGACCCATGATAGGTCTTCCCTCCATCTGCATGCTGTAGCCTGTCACCGCATGTGTAGCTATGAACGTGATGGAGAAGTCCACGATGGTCTCGCCGTACACGCTGACGTCCCAGTCGTAAGTGTCCAGCTTCTGAAGCCTCCACTCGCCATACTGCGATGCCTGGGGTTAGAGGTAAAGATGCAATATGACGACGTCATCAAGACAAGACGCCTTGAGCATGCACTAGTTGCCTGGATATATGCGCTATATAAATATCCTATCATCATAATAATGAAAAAATAATAATAAGTTGTCGATTGGAACCAGCGTTGCAGCCTTACAACTCACAATAATGGCGGTACTGTACAATTCTATTACAATAAATGAAGGTACTCACATTTGAAGGTACCGCATTACCCATAATAATGGTAGGTAAACTATGATTTATAATGGAAGGTGAACAATACAGTAACTTATACCAATGGAAAATGCACTACGCACAATATCGGCACGGCACGGCTCACATCAATAGAAGGTACGGCATTACTTATAAAGATGGACTGTACACTGTTACTCACGCCAATAGAAGGTACGGCATTACTTATAACAATGGACTGTACACTGTTACTCACGCCAATAGAAGGTACGGATTACTTATAAACAATGGATTACTGTTATAACAATAGAAGGACGGCATTACTTATAACAATGGACTGTTACTCACGCCAATAGAAGGTACGGCATTACTTATAAATATGTACACTGTTACTCACACCAATAGAAGGTACGGCATTACTTATAACAATGGACTGTACACTGTTACTCACGCCAATAGAAGGTACGGATTAAAGAAATTTTTTAAAACACCCAACATAACAAAATAGGTAAATCTAAAACATACGGTCAGGGGGCGAAAATACAATGGAGAAACATTTCAAAAGATTTCACAAAATATGTCGGTCGGTGAAAAAAGTAAACTCAGTCAAAGAGTTACTCATTCCGAAAGTGCCCAACGTGAACTAGGTTTTATAACTGGATTTAGATAATGGCCACAGGGGAAGTTACAATGAGATTGTTCTAAACCGTATTTTAGTTTTTCACTTGTGCAACAATGGTTCGGCAGATTCGACAGATACTATGATTACAATATAGTGAAACAATCGATGTCAGAATGTAGTCGAGTCTTCATCTTACCGGAATCACTATTTCGAGGGCTCCATTCCCCAGATAATCCTCCGACACAATTATTGGGGTGCCTGTAAACGTGAAAACACCGTGAAAGTTATCTTTACAACAACTACCGTACGATGTGTATCGACCGTGTTGGTGGCTGTGCATTTATAAGTGTGAGTTTGAGAGTGAATAGTGTGTTATTATTATTATTCTGTTTTCAATATTTCATCCTTGATATAAATATTTGTCCTCTGAACGGTGACTTCACAGTTTCAAAGATTGTGCCCTAACTGGAATTCAGCGTCGTGAGCACGCTTTATCCACGAGGCTACTACACTGCTTTCTCCACAAGATGACGTGCACACCTTTCTTAAGTCCGTAGATTACAGGATCTTACAGCAAACGATGCCTTCATTCAAAGGCACAGTGTATTCCACTCAAACATCTTTTCTTCAATGTTTTTCAGTGGTACAGCACAACACTAGCAATGCATTATTACGTAATGCCCTTATACACCAGCTTTACCTTGTGGGTAATGCAGTTTGACGACTGGTTTGGCTTGTTTGGTTGTCTCCATGATACGTAGCTTGACGTGGCTGAGTGTGTTGTCCACTGGTATGTTCCGGTAAGGGTCACTGGGAGACATGTGGAAGGAGGCAAGCAGGACGTACGCGTGGGCAGAATCCTGCAGCAAAACATTTACTCTGAAAGATTTTACTCCAAAATTTCCAAGTTTTAATCCAGATAAGGTGCCGAATCTTACCACGTATAGCTTGGTCACTTGACCAGGTATCGATGGAATCCGGGTTTCGCTGCGTCTATGAACCTTGTTTGTCAGTACGACACCTGTATCCGGTTTGCACCATAACCTGCACCACTCCTGCTTGTCTTCCCACATTAAGTCGTCATGAAACTCATTCACTCAAAAATATTAATTCACCAGATGATATGTACTATTGTCCATCATTAGGCGATACCCTCTCCCTTCATCCCCGGTGTTTATGGTTCACCAGTTGTCCCGTACACACGAGCCTGCTCTTTCTAGCAAGATTTCAAAGAGCGTCATACAACCCTTGCTAATTAAGAAGTTGGTTGATAAAGGTTTCAAGGTCTCAATAACGTTTCGAGAATACCTTATGGTAGACTTTTAGGTAACACTTCCAAATTTGATTCATCAGTGACAATTATGTCCGGTGCAATTCCCTATTTCGACATGTTCCGTGGATGTTTTGTCAGGTGAGCATTTGACTTGCCTGTGCATGTGTGCGTGATGGGTGCTACAGATGGGGAGGGGTATGCTCACCCTTCCCCAAACCACCCGGATATCATCACCGTTTAGTTGGAGATGATTCTGGAACACATGCTCATGTTTCGTTTGCAAATGCAGTAGCCTCTCTGTTTGGCAAGGATTTATTTATGAACATGGGAAGGATTTTGAAGCTTTATATTTTTAGATACGAACGCAGACGACAGTTACCTTGATGATTCCCGCCACCTGTGAGACGTTGGTCTTGTCTGTGTTGAAGACATTTCCGCCTGATGATTGGGCGATCTGCTGGTACACTGAATCTGGTGGGTGAAATAAATAACAGTTATACTGTTCAGATCCATCCATTATGATTTTAACATCACAGTAAATGTAAAATGAAAAATAATGACATGTTTTCAAAAAAGAAATTTTGAATTAACGTAGTTTTGGCAACATGTACCACTCCTAATGACCTCTTTGAATGTAGCAGAATATCTATTAGTTCTTGAAATGTTCAAAGCTAAATAGAAATGTTTCAGATGTATCCAATTGTCCAAAAATATAAATTTGATAAACATCCATAACTTCTACCTGCGCTTCTTTTCTTCTTCTGGATTGGCAAAAAACCCTCCACGCAGAGCACACTTATGGACACAACAAACAAAATGGCGGTAAGTCGACAGGCCATCATTTCGTTTTCACAATTATGCACTGTTTAACACAACCCGCTTCAGCCTGAATATAGCTTCCTATTGCACATCCAGCCAAAAGGTGTTTTCGTGTATGCAGAACTCCGCTATTGTTACAACTTGTCCTCTGTAAGACTTTTAATGACAGAACCTTGTTTTAAAGCTATTATATAGACACTGACGCCCATCCTTTATCGGAACATCTTCATTACCGATCAAACAAATTGTAGAAGGATTATAAGGTTTGGGGAGTAACATCAGTTTGAAATCAAGTTTTTCTCTTGTAATCACGTATGTCCGCCCAGGTCACGTCATTGTTGACCTTCTTTAAGTGGCTGTCCGCGCCCAAGAAAACACGATATGTACATACACATCAACACCATTGACCGTTTTACAGGACAGGCTGGGGGACACGGGGAGACAGCGGCTTCGGGGTGACGCTGTTCGCTTTGCAGAGTTGTACAGAGCTGCAGAGATGCCGAAGTGGGGACAAAATCCGCTGATTGTCGATTCGATTTCGGTATGAAAATTCCTTATTCTTCCAGCAACACACTCATGTCGATTTCCATAAAGGGGTACACAACCTTGACCTTGGACATTTGTCCCATGTAAGCTGACGTGTCTCCATGTTGATTAAAGTGATTTTAAACCCAAATCACCCACTCATTCACGTGTCCATTTCAGCACAGTTACATCTGCGGGATTACACGTTTCCAACTCTGGTTATCCATGGCCCTCTTATGAAAGAAATCATGAACATCAATATGCCACCGAAGAGACGTTAAAGAACACGGTATTAATTCTTATTACTACAGATTATCTGCCATGCCCAATCAACAGTTGTAACATGAAAGAATCAGGCGATTAA